AGTTCAACAAGATGCTCCAGCAAGGCATCATTCGACCGTCGAGCAGCAGCTGGACAACTCCACTCCACATGGTGCCAAAGAAGAGACCCGGCGAGTGGCGTCCTTGCGGCGACTACAGAGCGCTGAACGCCCGCACCGTACCAGACCGCTACCCGCTGCCGTACCTGCGGGACTTTTCAGCCGACCTGCATGGGTGCACCGTCTTCAGCACCATTGACTTGGTGAAGGCTTACCACCAGATCCCGGTGGAACCTGCCGACGTCCCCAAGACAGCCATCACGACACCGTTCGGCCTCTACGAATGCGTTCGGATGCCGTTCGGCCTCAGAAACGCCGGACAGACCTTCCAGCGTTTCATGGATGAGGTCCTCCGCGGCATACCGGGCTGCTTCGTCTACCTGGACGACATTCTGCTGGCCAGCCCGACTGCCGAACACCACCTACAGCTCCTGGACCAAGTGCTTCAGCGCCTCAACACCTACGGCGTCGTCGTCAACAGGCACAAGTGCGTCCTGGGACAGGAGCAGGTGGTGTTCCTCGGCCACTCGGTAGACGCCGACGGCGTCCGCCCGCTGCCTGGACGAGTCGAGGCCATCAAAGACTTCCCGGAACCGACCACTCAGTCCCAGCTACGGAGGTTCCTGGGGATGGTAGCCTACTACCACCGCTTCATCCCCCAGGCAGCCGAGCTCCTGCAGCCTCTGCACGCCTTAATCACCCACAAGGCAAAACGCTCGAGAGCGCCTGTCACGTGGACAGACTCGGCGCGGCAGCGTTTCAAGAACGTCAAGGACGCCCTGGCCACGGCGACACATCTCGCACACCAAGTCCCGGACGCGCCGCTCGCCCTCTTCGTCGACGCCTCGGACTGCGGAGTGGGCGCCGTCCTCCAGCAGCACGTCGCCGGCGAGTGGCAGCCCCTCGCTTTCTTCTCGAAAACGCTCCAGCCTGCGGAGAAGAAATACAGCACGTTCGGGCGCGAGCTACTCGCCATCTACCTGGCCGTCCGGCATTTTAAACACGCCATCGAAGGACGGTCAGCAATCATTTTCACAGACCACCGACCACTGGTAACGGCCATCGGCTCCTCGTCCGACCGCTACTCGCCACGAGAGGTCCGCCACCTGGACTACATCGGCCAGTTCGTGTCTGACATCCGCCATGTGCCTGGCAAGGACAACGTGGTCGCCGACACGCTGTCACGCACGGTCTCGATGGTGGCCCAGCCGCGACCCCCGCTCGCCGACTTCGCTGCCATCGCCAAGGCCCAGTCCGAAGACGGCTCGCTGGAAGACCTCGAGGCCTCAGACACCTCACTGCGCCTGCGCCACATCCCGGTCGGCGATGGGCTCCGTCTGCTCTGCGACGAGTCCACCGGATCGCCTCGGCCGGTCCTCCCAGTGGCTCTGCGCCGGCCCTTCGCCAAGGCTCTGCACGACCTGTCGCACCCTGGCGTCGAGGCCACCGTCAAGCTCATCTCTAAGCGGTTCGTCTGGCCCGGTATGGATCGCGACGTGCGCCGCTGGACCCGAACCTGCCTCGCCTGTCAGCGCTGCAAAATCGGCCGGCACACCAAGTCTGACGTCGGCACCTTCCAGCCACCTCAGCAACGCTTCGACCACGTCCACGTGGACCTCGTCGGCCCGATGCCGCCGTCAAGAGGGCACTCGTACCTCCTGACGTGCGTCGATCGGTTCACTCGGTGGCCAGAAGTCATCCCTCTGCCGGACATCCGCACCACCACGGTCGCCCGCGCCTTCCTCGAGCACTGGATCGCCCGATTCGGCGTTCCGTCCATCATCACGACGGACCGAGGCGCCCAGTTCGAGTCGGCCCTCTGGTCGGAGCTACAGCGATTCCTGGGCTGCCAGCGAACTCGGACGACGTCCTACCACCCGGCCTGCAACGGTATGGTGGAACGCCTGCATCGCCAGCTGAAGGCCAGCCTCCGTGCACACCAGGCTACGTCATGGACGGACGTGCTGCCGCTGGTGCTCCTGGGCATACGCTCCACCATCAAGGCGGACCTGCATGCGACGTCAGCCGAGCTGGTGTACGGCTCCTCACTGCGGCTTCCCGGCGAGTTCTTCATCAGCAGCCAAGCCTCAGCAGCATCACCGGCCGGCTTCGTACAGGACCTGAAGCGCGCCATGTCTCAGGTGCGGCCGACACTCCCACGTCCGGTCCAGCGCACCACGTACGTCCCGACGGCACTCCAGACGGCGACACACGTCTTCGTGCGCAGGGACTGTCACCGCTACCCGCTGGACGCTCCATACGACGGACCGTTCCCGGTTACCGAAAGGACCACCAAAACCATCACCATCGACCGTCGACAGAAAAAGGAAGTCATCAGCATCGACCGGTGTAAGGCCGCCTTCCTGGAGACGCCAGACGAATCCGGTCATCGACAGTCCGACCTGCCGACTGTGCAGCCGCACGGTACTCAGTCCAGCGGCCCGCCGGCCGCGCCACCGCTCAGCAATGAGCCCAGCGGCCCGGAGCTTCTGATCTACGGTGACGCACCAACTCGCCCTGCAGCCGTCGCTCGGGCTGACGCTGCACCATTGCAGCCTCAGCCGATACTACGGACGACCCGCTCCGGCCGCGTCATACGACCTCCGGTAAGATATCGCCATGTCACTTTTGTCCGCGACATGTCTGGCGAGGGGGTACTGTAGGGATCATCTATGCGATTTGTCATCTATGCGATTTGTCATTTCATATTGTCATTTTCATTTATATTGTCACCGCTTTATTAATCAATCTGTTACCTGTTGTCAATTGCGCGTCAAGTTTGTTTGATATTTGTAAACCGGCCTGCCGCTGGCCTCAACCTTCCTAGTAACCGCTGTGCCATACGCCATAGAACGTGTCGTGCAAAGGTCACGGCGGCACCCCTGAGGCGGCCGCTGCCCGTACGTTTAGGAGCCCATTGTCGTGACGTCACGCCTGTGAACAAAGGTCACGGTAGGGGCTCTCCCGGCAGCCGGACGGTGACTCATACGTTGAGCTTGTCTCTCGCCGCGCCTGCGGGCATATTGGTAGTACTAGGGACGGCCAGCATATGACCGCGGCTTTCGGCGACATTGTCAATTCGTTTTTCGACTCTGCTGTTCGCTGCAAGACCAATACACATAGAAAACGGCTCGGGCATTTGGAGAAGAGCGGCTACTCTGAGGCGAGGGAAGAACACGGAGATTCACACAAACGACCTGACTAGGTTGCACCGGCCACAGTCGACCGAGGTGGGCTTCCGCGCCCTTAAAGACGCCTCTGACTGGCCATTGCGCTGACACCCTGGTCGGACCACGGTCATTGATCGGACCCTGCCACTGGTTCGTGCTCAGGCTGCCTTAGCGGGTAGACCTGCTCGACCAGACGCCCCACTGGTGGGCGAGTGCTCGGTTCCGACTTTCACCGCCGGTCCAACAGCGTTCTGCTGGTTCCCGCCGATCCGGTTACGACACCGCAAGTGCCGTACCGACTCGGGCGTCCCAGGTGGGCGTAACGGTTACCACACCAGTTCGCGACCCCCAGGCTCTGTCAGCCGTCGTACGGCTCTCGGACGGACACTCTAATAGATCAGCCACAGATCAATAGGTTGTCACAGACCGTCCATCCAGCCACGCGCTACCCACAGCGCAGTACGACAGTACCACTTACAAGTCTTTAGCACCATCATGTCGTGATTTATTGACAGAAAAACGATTTATGACGTCACATGACCTCAGATGACCTTTGCCGGTGCCCCTGTCAATTAGCGGCACCAGGATCATCACCGATGAGATAATCTTCCATAATACTGAAAGAACTGGGTGGTTTTGACTCGTTTACACGAAGCAGGAGGCGTTTCAATATTTTCCCCATATGCTTGCAATGTAATGGTCACGAGTCTGGCCTAACCTCAGGTCACAGATATGAAAATTCTGAGATATACAAATTGCACATACTGGTACCCTAACTAAAGCCTGAAGAGAAGAAATTGATCGGTCAAAAACTCTAGCTCTGGCGTGATTGCAAACTTTTCTGAGGTAGGGTCACCAAACCGCCTCTGGTGACCTGACCTGAGGTCAGATCAACTCAAAATTTTCAGAAATGTTGCGTAAAAGCCTTTTAGAAAAAGTCAGAAAATTTGAGCTTCCTAGCTCAAAGCGTTTGGGAGATATAACCAAAAAACCTCAGGGGGGGGGGCTCCTGAGGCCCCCCCCCCCCCGCCAGGAATAGGGTTAAAGGGACTGTCCCACCTTAACATTAGATTTGAGTTGAGATAGCCATCTTGATGGACGTTCTTTGAAAATCAGTGCCGTGAAAACCGTTTCTCCAGCAATTACTTCATCGCAAAGAAATTTGAGTTTGATTTTGACATCTGTGCAAATAAGTGCCACAATGTATTGGTATAGGCACTTAAATCTGATGACGTCATCAGGCTTTCGAACGTCCGTTAAATGTTTGACTAAAACGTTTTGTAGCACGCGGTGGTATATGCTGCGTTGCGCGCAACAAATGCCGCACTTTTAAATAAAGTCGCTAGGAACAGCGGAGATCCCAAAAAGTAAACAAAAGTAAAAGTCTAATATCTTGAAAACCGGTGAATATTTTTCGGTGAAATTTGGTAGATATTCGTTTTCGCTCTTTCTGAACCGAGCGACATCACTTTCATGCCAATTCATAAACTTTTTTAAAGGTGGGAGGGTCCCTTTAAGTACCATTCATTATACAGATATTCCAGCTCAGTCATTAGTTGGGCAAAACTCATTAAATTTGGCACAGGACATGTAGGTGCAATAACCACACAATGCATGGATCATGCAGGAGAACACTAAGATAAACTTTCAAACTGTTATATAATGAAATAACGTGAGAAAGTGTGAGAATAGTTAGATAACTCTATAAAAATGTTTTTTTAGTGGGTCACAGAACAAAGAGAACAGACAGACAAAACAGACAGTTGCTAGGTAGTATTTGAGCACTTGGCTGATATTGTTTTCTTTCTTCAGGCACCTGCTTCCTTGAATACTGTGTTGGGTACTTCATAGCAAGATTTAATCAGAAGATACAAAAATGACTGATATTGACCAGCTCAAGAAAAAGGTGGATGAATATTATGGTGAAATGAAATACAAGGAAATTGCAGATTGCTTGGAGGCTCATAAGGTATGTTGTGACGTAACAGTTGATGGCCAGACTAGCTCATAAGTGCTCATGCTCCACTCTGAATTGAAGCATTTGTTTTTATTTAATGCATTAGATTATCTGGTAGACTGCTCTTAAAGGGACCCTCCCACCTTCAAAAAAGTTAATGAATTGGCATAAAGGTGATGTAGCGTGAATCACAAAGAGCGAAAATGAACATCTACCAAATTTTACCGCAAAATATTCAACCGTTTTCGAGATATAAGACTTTTATTTTTGTTTACTTTTTGGGAACTCCGCTGTTTCTATGACGTCACATAAAGGTTTTCTTTACGTCGGCATTTGGAAGCAATAATTTGGTATCAAAGTGCGACAAATATTGCGCGAATGATGCGTTTATCTTATCAAGGTCAATATATGATGGCCAACAAAGGATTCCAGGACAATTCTTCTTATGGCATTTTTTCGTATCGCAATTCTTCGTCTGCAAATCTTCGTCAGGGCATTTATTCGTATCGCATTACTTTGTCTCGCATCAGGGTATATGAAAATCGGCTCGCATTTCTTCTTCAACGCAAATATATGCAAGAGTAAGCATTGATGGACAAATAAATGCACCGACGAAGATTTGTAGACGAAGAAATGCGGACGAAGAAATGTCATGCGAGGATTCGTTCGGGTACCATGACATTTATGTGATTTCAAAGTCAAGGTTCACAGCTGATCTGCTAAATCAAGCCAAGAATCCAAACCATCAAAAAACTATAAATATTTGTCTGTCACAGAGGTCTCAAGCAATATAAGGTTGACATATGTTGAATCAAAAATCTACTGCCACAACTCACATCTCCTGCCTTAGTTTATCATTGTTGTTTTAACTTGCTTTCAAGAGAAACAGAAGCCAGTATCTGATATCACTTCAGATGATTGTTTCAAGATCTGAGTTCAAATGGAATTAAAAGCAAGATCAAGATGAAACAGGGATTATTGCTGTTAAAGTAGTTTGGCCATAATACAACAGGCACATAAATCATTAGCCAAATCAAATACTGGTTGGTTTGTCAAGATGTTTGTTGTCTGTCGTCTGTCGAGCTGCTATGAACACTGAACGCTCTCACTCTTACTTTAATGAGAGTAGTTTAAGTTGAATGGTAGTGAGCTGTAATTAGACAAAGCAGCTATTCAGTGCTCACATCAAGCCAGGCTAGGAAATGGCATCAACTGTGGTGGGAGGAAGCAGGTTCGGCAGGCCTATGTTGTAAACTTCTGCTGTGTCTTGTGTTTGATCAACTGATGTTTTCTGCTCTGTTTTGTGCAGTGATAGTAGCAGGTAACTGCATGCTTGTCAAATTATGTGAATAAACGAATTCATAACATTGCATTTTTCTCTCCATGCAAGGAACAAGTAAGATGTTGTAGAAAATGTAATAGAGGGCTGCATTGCTGATTTCATGCACTTTATCAGAGCTTTATTTAGAATTGCTTTCCTGAAAGCTACACACAGGCCACAGCACTGAAACTCACAATGTCATAGCTTTTGGCAGAAAAAAAGAAAAGACTTGCCTAGGTAAAATTGGCTGAAAGTATGGCAGAGCAGGTCTTGATGCGTATGCCCATCCGTGTGCTTGCCGAAGCCGAACTGACTGCAACACATTAACTCTGACCCACCATGGTGGCTGGCATATCCTGAACTTTCACCACTCTAAACAAGACAACTTTCAGCCCTCAGCATTGTATTAAAACACTGTACATGGCAGTTGACACTCAAAATTTGTTTCAGTGCCATCCACGGACAACATCAGTCGCCATTCACCAGGCCAGTAAAAACAGAATAGATAATAGCTTCAAACCCATGTAGTCAGGGTTACTAGGTCTGCACCTCAAAACAAAATCCAGGTGACATTCACCACGCCAGTAAAAAAAAACAGGTAGGTACTTAGGTAACGTAACAGCTTCAAATCTGGTAACATGTTGGTCGGACTTAACACTACCATATGTACATGGAATAATATGATACCAAACAATAGTGCAACCATTCTGGACAACAAAAGTGTATGATAAAATTAATTTAGAATACTTTGGCAGCATGATTTACGAGCACAGGCAGGTGTTACCTACCAGCCTTCTCAATGCTCGTAAAACCAACATTGTAGTTTTGATTTTACCTTACATGATACAACCATGGATGAAGGAGAACCTGGATTGGAAACTAACAGCTGATTGCGTTCCCTTCGGTAAGTGCCCGAGGGCACGCGCGGCGGCAGCGGGAGCCGCGTCTGCCGCGCATTCACTGGCGCCGCGTAAGCGTTCACCGGCGCCGCGTAAGAGAAAAACACTAGAAATGGCCCTCTTTTTCAAGGTCGCCTGTATTCGGCCCTCGTGTACGACTTTTGTGCGGAACGGACAATAATAGTTTTGGTCTCATTCGATAGCCTGATCAATTTTGTCTGTCGTAAATAGCTTCTAAACCTAAAAATAAATCCGCATTGCGGTCTAATACCCGTTTCAAAACATGCCGCCCCGCGTCCCCCATAGGCCGTAATGCTTAGCGGCGGGAGTTTCCAGTCCCGATACTTACCGAACGCTAGGTGGCAGGTCGATCGCCCGGAACGCTGCCCGTAATGTTGAAGGAATAGGAGTTTCCTATCCAGGTTCTTTCATCCATGATACCACACTTGGCTGCAATGGCACATTTAATTTAACACTGTGAAAAGACCAGTTATAACCACTTCACAAGCACAATTGCACCTCATGCCGACATCCTTTTCCAAAGACAGTCAGCAGCGTCTTTCGTCAAAACTGGAAGATCAATCCCCTTTCAACTGTTAACATCAAAAATATTTCTTCATGGTGTGATCTCCTATGGAAACCTTGCGGGAAAAGAATTAATGTCAATTGTCAGCTCTTCAAATTTCTTTGGACTTAAACTTGCAGTACCATATCCAGTTTGCTTTGATATTTTGTTTTTCATTCCATGTTGAAGTTGAACACCAAGCTCCAGATATAGCAGGCAGCTTGATCATCTTCGGCCTTGGTATAATATCAGTCCAAGTTCCAGTGGTGGGTATCTTCTAATATTCAAATTAAAATGAAAAGCACAATAGGGGCCCTGTTTCACCGGTGATAGCAGCAAGCTACTATCAAATTGCGCGAGCTGACGTAATGTGATGACGTCATACTGCTGACGTAAGGGGCAATTCTGGCGCACGATTGCCGCAATATTGTTTTACGTCATCAGCTAAATGTTCGAAGTTAATGTCCAAATGTTTCCTAAACCCAACTTCTTTTAAATACATCATATTGAAAAAATATATATCAAAAATATATATACTATCATGACTGCGTAAACTCTTACTTTTAGGCTCATACGTCACTTAATGCCGCCGCCAAGGTCGCGGCAATCGTGCGCCGGAACTACCCATTACGACAACAGTATGGCGTCACGACATGACGTCAGCTCGCGAAACGTGATAGCAGCTTGCTGCTATCACCGGTGAAACAGGGCCAGGCTTTCTCAGCGCCGACGACGGATTTCACGTTGATAAAAAAGGGAGCTCAAGATCAGCAAAACTCGGGTTCAAGGAATGGCGGGCGTTGAAATGACTGCTGACGTCATCAACAAACCGCTAATGGTTAAAGGGACCCTCCCACCTTCAAAAAAGTTTATGAATTGGCATGAAAGTGATGTCGCTCGGTTCAGAAAGAGCGAAAACGAATATCTACCAAATTTCACCGAAAAATATTCACCGGTTTTCAAGATATTAGACTTTTACTTTTGTTTACTTTTTTGGGATCCCCGCTGTTTCTAGCGACTTTATTTTAGAAGTGCGGCGTTTGCGGCAGATGTTGCGCGCAAATAGCATATACCACCGCGTGCTACAAAACGTTTTAGTCAAACATTTAAAAATCGTTAGATATCTGCGCTGACGTCACACATTCAGAGGGGTATTCCTTAAGCATTAGCCCCTCTGAATCAAAATGCTGCAATTTTGAAATTCAATATTTCCGATTTAAGGCATTTCTCGATGTTGTGAGTGCCGAAACCGGTAATTGTGAGCCAGGGACCCCATTTTGGCTATCTCAACTCAAATCTAATGTTAAGGTGGGAGGGTCCCTTTAAGAGATAGGGACTAAGCTGGTCCCACCCTGCAAGTAAAGGGAAGAAATTTCTTGAACACCATAAAGCTGCGGGGGTTGCGACCAGGATAAATGGTGGTTTCTGAGCCTGGCCGCAAACTTGGCTATCTCAACTCAAAACTAATGTTAAGGTGGGATGGTCCCTTTAACCTGCTTGAGCATGAAGTTCTACATGGTTAGAATGATGCATTGACATGCAACTTAAGCTAAGTAATAATAAAAGAACAGTCATCTTACAGAGAATCAGCAACTCAGTCTAGCATATCCTTAGTCCTTACAGTGGTTTCCTTAACCTAATTCATCAGTTCCTACTTTGGACATTGAAATTCAACGAAATTCATCAGTTGAATGCAACTAGTTTCATGGCTTTGTTCGCTCACGGTCCCCAACGGTCTGGTCAGGCTCGGTACGATCTGCTGCGGTACTGTTGTCATTACAGTCGAGTAATCCCGAGTGGGATGGGCCGCACCAGACTGGTGCGGGTGCGCCCACCGGCGGAGAGCGTTCTGTCCGCGTGGAGCCGGTGTGGCCGGTCCGGCTCGCTCGGCCCGGTGGTACAGCATCCCCAGCCACCTCGATACCGGCCTCTCCGCGCCGGAGTCGGGACCGGTCCGGCGGCCGCACACCAGGAGAGCCGGATCAACTGGTTCGCGTTTTTCGGGCGTGACTGACGGCTGGGAAGCGCCATCTTAAAACGCTTTATTCTCTAAACGATGGAGCCATCTACGTCTATCTGCAGGAATCTCCATCCGGGCACGGACACGCCGACGTGGCACGAAACGCGCTGCTCTGCAGTTGTGCGAACGTAGCGTGTAGATGAGATTTCCGAGGTCAAAGTCCTTGCTTAGCATAGCACCTGCAGAGTTTTTAGTATTTTGTGTCGACTTCTAATATTTTATTGCGAAATTTTAGGCATACGACTAATGGAAAAGTCGCAACTCTCACGTGTGCGCACAGCCGGACATGTCCTTAATTTCGCCTGTTTATGTTTCATTGGATCGCCGCCACTGACCACTGGTGATCAAAGTCGGCAGCAAAGAACGAGTGCCGAAACCGAACCGGGTTTCAAATACCGATCGGCTCAGGAGCCGGACAGTGGACTCAGTAAGCTATGCACTGGGACTTTGCGGGGTCGGGGTGTGCCACCTAATCTGCTTCCTAGTTCCTGGTAGCAAAGCCGTTGACTTTGAGCCCAAGCTGAGCTAGATTTTGCAATCCCGGGATCCAATATAAATTATGTTACCGCGATGCTGAAGTTAAGAGTGACCCGCAGTCAAGGTCAGCTAAAAAAAGTCGACTTTGGAGTCGTGATATAAACTTAGGACTTTTTGATGCCCAATTCTTGCACCTTATGCCAAAATAATGTGATCGTTCACCCGGCATAAGCGTGACTCAGTTATTTTGTAATGACTTTTACCGTCGTCGGCCACCGTCACCACGACTCGAGTTTAATAACTTCTATGAGTCGTTGAAGCGTCGAATTATGCAGTATGAAAACCCAGGCGTGCAGTTGTACCCTTGCTAATATAGTGTGACTGTGCTCGCCTGATGTGTCTACTTATTCCTATGTCGTTTTAAAGGCGAAATGACTTTTCGCTTCTGTGCTAATTCTAATCTCATTCTTCCATCCACTCGTTTCCTTTTCAGAACAGTGACGATGTGGGTCTACTGTGGCGACTGGCGCGTGCCAACTATGAGCTGCAGAAGTCGCTGTCCTCGGACTCGGCTCGGCTGGAGGCGCTCCAGGGCACCTTCTCTGTGGTGGAGCGAGCGCTCACCATCGATTCAGAGGATCCCAATGCGCACAAGTGGATGGCCATCTACATGAATGCCATCACCAAAATCCAAGGCTCGAAGGCGCAGATTGAAAAAGGACAGGCCATCAAGGAGCATATGCTGGTGAGATTTTCACTGAACCTTGTGGGCTATGTCATGTGGCGTCCGATCGTTTACCGAGATGATCTGCTGCGTAGCAGACATACCAGGTCACGTTTATTTACTCTGTATACTCGATTCAGCACTTACTATCACGACCGCGACTACTTTTGCTGTATCAGGCCATGCTGTACTGTCATGTTTATCTGATTTTTTCTCTCACTTCTGAAACGATTTTCATATTCATAACCAATCATTCGTCGGTCGATGGGAGAAGACCCGGCCATATGTATACGTGTTCGAGCTAATCCTTAACCGTAGCTCCCTCTCATCATGTGCCATGGCTCCATCTCAACCTATACCGTGGTTCGCCCGACGGCTGACCTATGTAGTGGCTCCCTCTAACCCTGTACCGTTCACAAGCCTCAGAATTCCTTTTCCGTTCACGAGCCTCAGAATTCCTTTACCGTGACGTCACCTGGGCGGCAAAAATTCTTTAGTGAACTAACCTTATTAGTAAAGTTATCTTGCCGTGGCTCAATGGCCCTCTGGCCTCTGTGGTGGCCGTCTCTCACCCTGTACCGTGGCTCCATCTAACCCTGTACGGTGGCTCCCCTAACCCTGTAACGTGGCACACGCACACTGTACCGTTGCTCTCCCTGATCCTGTCGTTCATCCCTTTAACCCAAGATTACTATACTAATCCTCTAACCCTGTACTGTGGCTCCCTCTAGCGCTCTGCGGTGGCCCCGGGCCCCCGGTGATCCTGTACTGTGGCTCCCCTCCCCTCTGATCCTGTACTGTGGCTCCCCTTCACTCTCTGCGGTGGCTCCCTCTGATCGTACGCCGCTGTTCATCGGCAGAGGGCGTGCGAGCTGGGCTCGGAGGACCCGACCAACTGGCACCTGATCGGAATGTGGGAGTTCACGGTCGCCGACATCTCCTGGGTGATGCGGAAGCTTGCCACTGTGGTGTACGGAGAGCCGCCCAAAGCCACCTTCGAGGAGGCGCTGGAGCACTTCAACAAGGCTGAGGAGATGGCTGACGGTTTCAGCCAGCAGAGCGCCGGTCAGGGACTCGAGTGGCCCATCAGGAGGTGAGCGATGTCGCGGGGACGGGAAGATACTAACGTCAGATTGCTGCGACAGCTTATTTGTGTTCGACGGGCTTCCTCTCTTCCCTTCCCATGAATGGGCATTGTTATGTGATTTTTTCTGAGAACGCAATGTTCATTTCCACGCAATTGTGTAGGATTTAACACTTAATGTGTACCGCAATGTCACAACATTTGTTTTTGCCAACGGATGTGTCTACACATGTATCACTCATGTTTCCTTTGCAGTCGGAATTTGTTGATGATTGCCAAGTGTCACCAGAAGTTGAAGGATAACGCCAGTGCCATCAAGTACCTGCAGATGGTCATGGAGAGAGACGCCAAACACTCGGAGGATCAGGAGGTAGGCACTGAGCTTCGGGCTGCAGTTGTGGGCCTATCACGGGGGAGGGCTGGCTTATGTTCATGCGTTTGGCTTAGACAGTACGGCATATTATCTGGAGGTTAAAACTGTTGTGAGGCGTAATGGAGGAGTTCGAACTGGGATAACTTTTTGAATCTTTTAACAACATATGGATACCATCCAAAGGTATTGTTGTCGATTCGCTGCCATCGGGGTTCGGGTTTGCTAACTCAGCAGGTGCCTTTGGCTGAACTGACCAACATTAATCTTTGGCTATAACGTAATTTTGCGTAACTGTTGAACCATAGTAGGTGTCGTTTAAGTGCTTGGGATAGGACGTACTAGCCCTGTCTAAACTATGTGAAAATGAGCATCTGACAAACATTTATCTCAAATGAAATGCACGGATTGGCTATGACATTATTTGTGTGATTTTTAGACTAAGTGTCATTAGAGGGCCCGAAATAGGTGCGACCCTGGCTGCTCGGGACACATTAACGTTACGCTGTCGTTATTCATCCTCAGTTCTCGCAAATATTCTGACTTTTTTTTAAATACCGAACTCCGAAGCTTCTACCACAAATAATTTCAAGCATGGTGCTACCTAATGTTATATAGCTAGTATAGTAAGCATTTTAAGCCTTGTAATGCCATGTCATAAAGCACATGTCATTTGTCATTTGTCAATATGGCTAACGGGATGCATTGTATGACTGTAGAACGTATTGTGATGGCCCGTTTTAACGTTATGCACCTTTTGATAACCGCTGTTTTGTCACTGACGTCCTAAAAGATGATGCAATTAGATAAAAAAAATAGATTAGGAAATGAGAAAAGCGAATACAATAAAGAACCCCTAAGTCCGTCCCCTGCGACACGAGACATTGTACGTTGCCGTTCCATTTCCGACATTATCCGACAAATTATACGTTGCCGCTTATTTGATAGTTATTTATAGCATGCATTTTGTCTCGTTTTCAGGCAAAGACAGAGGCTGCCAGTCTGCTAAAAAGCCTCCGTTAGCTAATCATGAGCTTAGTGAAGGTGCACCTCAGCTTCAAAAGACAGCACGTGGAGGACAACGGCGCACATAACGGGGAAACGGGGCCTGACCTGGGGCAGCAGTGCCTATCCGAGCTTCAACTGGTGTTTAGCCATATCAATTGCGTTATTCGTTTGATACAAAGCTTTACAGCGAAACAGACGATATGTTGCCAGTTTTTTTTTTACTTTTATATGCCGAATCACTGTTACTATAAAGTGACCTTTTCAGTACCTTTTCAGATTTTTCTAGCCGGCATTTACGCCACTTTTTTCGAAGCATTTACGTTCTCGTATATTTACCTGGTGATCTGTTTTTTTTTTTTTTTTAGAAGCATAATCGTTTTGACTTGTGTAACGTATAGGTACGCACTTTGATTTCGTTTAAGGCCGCCCCACACTGGAACTCGCATGCGGGTTGCGAGTTTTTGGGTTTTCGGGTTTATTCTAAATCAAATGATACAATCTAAGCTGAGTGACCCACACTACCATCTAACAAGCGAGTCTGCATGTTTTTAGCTTGCGAGCGACCTTGCATCGCATTCCAAAAGTTGATTTTGAGTCAACTTTCGATTTTCCTCGCTGCGAGGTCTGCGAGGTCTGCGAGGTTTGCGGGTTTTTCGTTGGAGTCGAATTTTGGTTCGTTGCGCTGGTATTGCGACTATATGTAATTTTCTGAAGGTGTACCGGCTTCATTGCATTCATAAAGTTTCCATAAGGGAACGGTCTAATCACTCTCTGAATTAGTATTATGCCCGCAAACTCAAAACCCGCAAACTCGCAACCCGCATGCGAGGTCCAGTGTGGGGCGGCCTTTAGTGTGATCCATTCCATATATTCCCTCGGTGCATTCCTTTCCAATCAGTGATATGATCGTGCCTTCGAGTGTAGCTGGTCACTCGGTTCTTAGCTTGACGTAGGCTGTAGATAGACCGCTTAGTTACTTAGTGACAGGTACACTTAAAAGTGCACAGGGTAGACGGATTAGATGCTAGGGAATACCATAGCGTGTTATTCATAGACGGTCGTAGATGATTATCTTGTATCGTGTGCGGCAATAGCTAATATGGAATATAAGTCGACCTACCTGATTCGCTCTTTTTATTTGGATGGTTGTTTGCAGATTTGGAAACAAGACATTCTGAATTCCGCGTTGCATCGATTGCCATAAGCTGGCTAGCCTCAGGGCTGCGGAGTGCGGAGTCGATGGATTTTAGGGTGACTCCGACTCCGACTTCAAAAATTAACCTCGACTCCGATTTTAATTCCGACTCCGACTCTGGATGGTTCTATTAAAATCCATACCATGATATTGAAGCTCATAATGGAGATGTTTTATCTTGCCTGAAACGATCTGTTGTGCGCTCCAAGGCTTGACGCTGCAAATATGCATTACAAATAACATGCAGAATTAAAAAGCAGGTTCCGGGGCATTCTCCGTCTTCTGCTTCTTTCACGAACCAACAGCAAATTGGCCTTTTTTCGACAAAATCTAATTTCGAGCGCAGTATCGTCAATAAAACAGGCGCAGTGCATGACGTTGAGCCATGCATTGTTAACTCCGACTCCTGAGTCGGAGTCGGTAAGCTTATGGCGACTTTGACTCCGATTCCGGGCAACACTGTCGATTCTGACCGACTCCGCAGCCCTAGCTGGCCTTATATTGAATGAGTATCAAATTCATCATCGCTTTGCATGACACCCTGAATTATCTCGATCTGCTGAACGATGCGCAGTACGCACAGTCCACAGCCTATCGTTCGTTGCGCGCGGATGGCCGGCGGCCATGACGTCACAGACGATTCTGGATTTTCCTACCGACAGACCGCATAGCGCTGGATAAGCCGGTCCACTTCCACTGGTGGATCCCCCGAGTTGAGGAATGTCGATCTCCTGTAAAAATAGTCAAACAGTACCCCCTGCAGGAGTGGCGTATTATCGTATTTTTTCTGGAATGGCCGAGTTCCAATTCCCCAGATTAGCTTGTAATCGTGCACAGAGTGCGCAGTGCCCATCACTCCGCAGTCGAGCACGCGGCGCCATACGGTGGCATTTGTCCAGAAATGTGACCACTTGGTGCACTCTGCGGCCGGCCGGCAGACAGGCAGGGTCCGCGGGCGATCCTCGGCCCGTATTTGCGCGGTGGACACTGAGCAGTGAGCAGGGCCTGGCTGGTAGCGGCCGGTTTGCGTCACTTCCCGTCAGAGTTGGGGGCCTGTCGGTGGTGGTGGGGAGTTGGACGGTGCTCCGCTGAGGAAAGTCAGTCGTGCGAGAGAAGAGAACGCAAGGAGAGCAGTGAGTGGGTGAGAGGACGGAGACTTTGAGGAAGCTGGGATATCTTTGGAAGATTATCTTCGCCCCTCGGACACGGAACGGAATTGGTAAGTAACAGTCGTGACGCTGGAGTGGCATGTGTAGTGGATTATGTGTGTAAGTTATGTCACCTCTGCAGTGTACCGTTATGGATACCATTTATCGCTGCGAACGCATGATCAGAAGTGTTGAATTGGCCATTTTCCACTGTAACGCCCACTTTCTGCTTGTGGCTGGTGGGATACACATTATATAATTTAATAATAATAATAATTATTATTATTATAATTACACGACGCTACTTGGATTGTTACGCGTGTGTTTTCTTCCTACCGATTCCCAGCATGAACTGAGTATGCAACAATGTTTCCGTCGATGGAAACGGATTTTTTTTTTTTGCTCGACTTAACATCTGATCACCTATCACGTTTGATAATAAAGAAAGCTGAAAACTGTTGACAGGCTGGCGACTCTGTAGAATACCGAAACGTGTACCTATTTTTAAGTTAGCTGCTCAATACTTCACCCGTTCCATCGGCGGCCTGCAGTTCACGCTGTCCGTGCCCGTTTCCCAGTCGGAATGGATCACCAACTGGTGCTGGTGGTGCTGGTGACCACGCTCTGCCGAATCACCAATGCCTTCACCACTGCTGAAGTCCCCACGCCCAGGTTCACCTACGAGCCGGACACCATTCACGTTGAGATACCCAGTAAGGCGTGATGCATACACTTATTGTGCTGAGATGTCGGTTAGGTAGTAGGTATACCATTTACGTGCCTATTTGTGGCTGACGTTAAGCACTATGCACGGAAGTGCTCTGAGTGAATTTCAACCCCATTTATGAAGGCAATTGTCATTTATTGGTTTTATCACGATTAATTCGACCTCAAGTTGTGCGTCGCATTTTGCTCGTCCAAAGATATTTTGCTCGTTTCCGTTCATTTTATCTGGCGGTAACTGATAATTTATTGTTTCAGAGTTGCCGGGAATGTCGCTGGCAGCCATCCATCTGACGTTAAATGAGCCTGTGCACGGCACACAGCCGGGAAAAATCAACAAGGACTTGGCTTTAGTGGGCGATACCTTCAAAACTACCGTCCAGTAAGTTTTCAGTGTCATATTCTCTGGGTTACACGAAAAGAAATATTTTGCGTGTTTGTTCTTATTTTTCTCATGTGTAATATTTTTACATTATCGCTTACCACGTGCTTAGTTCTAATGGCGTATTTATGACGATACCAGCCCTAACCGGTTCCACCTGTGCCGTCCTGTGCTCCGGCAGCCTTCCGTGGCAGACCAATGACGTCATCTTCTACTGGGTATACGTCATCGTGGACGGCCTGGGCTACCAGCGGCTGGGGCAGCGACACGTGATCCGTGCCACTAACGCCGGCCCGCCGCCGCGTGGGCCCTTCCAGGTTCCGTCGCCTATGTTCCACCTGACGCCGCATGTCATCACCGTCACTGTCCCCGGTGAGTGACGCGCTGACGTCACTGACGTCAGTGTATACCTGACGTGAGTGTACACCTGACGCCGAGCGTCATCGCTGTCGTAGTTCTTATTGAGTGATCCACGGGATGACAGCGTCCAATAATTGGTGTCAGTATCCACCGGATATCAGTTTCATATCTGACGCCGTTTCGTCCTCACCGTCACTGTTCTAGGCGAGTGGTCCATGACTGATGTCAGTGTTCACCTGACATCACTCGTTGTCCGGTTGTCGCCCAATTGTCGTCCATACCACCACCGCTTCCTTCAGTCACTCCCAGCTTTCCGTCTGCGGCAGCTCTGCCCGGTATCTCGCTAGTCGCCATCCACCTCAGCCTCAACGAGCCGGTGCCGGGCACTCGGCCGGGCCGCTATAACCAGGACCTGGAGCGCAGCGGGGACGTCTTCACCACAATGGTGGTGGCCGACTGGAAGGCCGGGGACACCATCCACTACTGGCTCTATGTGGTCTACGAGGGCCTCGGCAGGCACCGGCTGGCGCAGCAGTTTGTCATTGATGCAGACGCTGCAGGTACGGCTGGGGCTAGGCGGCGAGCGCTGAACACGGGATTGTGAGGAGGGGTGGCGTATTCATGGATTTAGCTAAACAAAACCGCAAAAGCGGTTTCTTTGTAATAAGTTTGATTCATAATTTTACATGTTTCGGCTTATAATTTAGATAATTAGACATGTCGATTTGATTTGTCATGGTAACCATCTTTCATATGTCTTGCACGGTGCTACTGTAAACATTTACATCGTATCGACCGTAGAACCGCACATCATGCCAGAAATACGTTCCTGTTATCGCTCTGGCCGTAAACAATACACCGTGTCTGCTGCATGCCTTGTACAGTGTTGTGATAGCACAGAGTGCCCCTGTGCCTTTTTTCTTTCTGTATGCAGTCTGCCTAGTCCCCGAGTGCCTTTCTCTCGGTGTACAGTCTATAGAGTGCCCGAGCTCCGTTTTTTCTGTATACAGTCTGTAGTCCCCAAATGCCTTTCTGTATTCAATTTATAGTACCGGAGTGTCCCTTGCGCCGTATGCCGTTCCCCGAAACCCGTCCATGTTTCTGCCCTTTCCCCTCGTGACGCCCTGTCTCCACGTTATCCCAGGCGGCACACCGAGTCGTCCCGGCGTGCCCGCGACCCCGCCGCCGGCCGTCTCCTCTCAGCTGCCGGAGCAGTGCGGCTCCAGGTTCTTTGATCAGTTCGGCGACTTTTCGCTGCGGGTCTCTGGCGGCACGCCGGTGTCTACCTTCGACTACCCCTGGCAGGTAGGGGATGTCGACAGCATAGGAGGGTCACAGTGACGGGACTAGATTAACTAATTGTATTGTAGTGGTAACGGATCGAAGAGCGTTGTGATGTGGTAACTGATGCGATGATAACATGGAAACTGGAGCCTGGGCGGGCAATGCAAATTGTAACAGCATGACTACGGCGACATGCGAATTTGGTTTAGCAGTTAGCTGCTGTGATAACTTGGCCTTTGGTGTCAATACACATCAAGCTTTAATAGAAATACAATAACATCCCGGTATTGCATTTGGCCAGTAGATGAATACGATGTCGCTCTTCGACGTGGCAGTGCCAACCATGGGTACCAACTGCCAGCTAGACAAATTCGCCGATAAAAAACTGCAGTTAAATGCACGGTGTACGATGCCAATTTGCCGTAAACGCGGTCGGTACCGAACCAAAAGCATGTCTCGGAGCTTATCTCCTTTCTAAGCGTGTCTCGGTGCTCGATCTCTCAGGTACCCCGCAATGTGTCCCACAGGCGCAGATCCAAACGACGAGATCGACCCACGTGTGCGGTGGTATTATCATCAGCGATCGCCACATCCTGACGGCGGCACACTGCCTCAGCGGCCATCTCACCCGGGATCTGCAGGTTTGTCACCAAATCGCCGCAGGTGTGTCACCAAATCGGCAGGTCAAACACCAAATCAGTAGGTCGGGCACTAAATCGGCAGAGTTGTAGTCAAAACGTCAGATTTGTCACTCACTAGATTTCCGGGTCTCGTGCTACTCACTAGCTCGTTGACTTTAATTCTGATTACGCTCTGGGGGTCTTCGAGCCACATAGATAGTCAAGGGAACCAATGCATATGTTTATGCATTTTGTGTTACATTATATCCACCAACTTCAGAAGCGATTTCATATATTTACATTTTATGGTCGATCGTACCGCGACTTGCATGTGTGCAATGACGATTAAAGCCGCCAGCTGTTCGAGGCTTGTCCCTTTATATCCCTTAGTTGCGCCATTTTGCTGGCCTGCCACGCACTATTTGGTCGTGATTGTTGTTCCTGCTAGCCGGACTGACGAGTTCTTCCTTTTTCCTCAGGTGGTGGTCGGGCAAAACGACCTGACCAAAAAGGACGAGGAGGAAGAGGTGTTCGCCGTCAAGCAATCCTTTTCTCACGTCGGCTTCGGGGAAGGTAGGCTATAATGTAAAATCACCTGGCTTCCGTTACGATGCTGAGTAGAAAGTTGTTTATAAGGATGTTCGCAACGTATAAGAATAAAACTGTAAATCAAAACAGCCTAACCTGTAATTTTTAGGCATCTGTGCGCCAAAAACTTCCGCGCTCCGCAATGCGGGTGCCCTAAATGCCGAACCATTCATCATCACTTTGTGAACACCCGATTTCCTCCTGATCAGTTGATCGGTCTTGTGCAGCTCTCTGGTCATGCTCCCCCCTGTGCTACTGTCTGCAGAGGGCGCCGGTCGCTACTCAAACGACATCGCCGTGCTGCTACTCCGCACGGGCCGGCGCGGCCCCATCGTGTTCGGTGACCACGTGCGACCGGCCTGTCTGCCGCCTCCGAACGACATCAGTGCCGAGTTCACTGCCTGTCTCGTGTCCGGATGGGGTGAGCTTAAAGCTGTAGGGGGGTGGGGTGTGGAGAGCTGTATGGGGTGGGTGAGCTGAGAGCTGTAGGGGGTGGGTGAGCTGAGAGCTGTAGGAGGTGGGTGAGCTTAGAGCTGTAGGGGGGTGGGTGAGCTGAGAGCTGTACATAGGGGGTGGGGTGAGCTAAGAGCTATAGCAGAGTGATTGGTGGGATGGGCGTTGAGTTATAGGGGAGCAGAGCCAGAGGCCGGTGGGGTGAGCATAGAGCTGGTGAAGCAGAGGGCTGGGGTATACCGTGGGATGGACAGTGATGTGAAAGGGCGTACTTTAGCAGTAGCTGTAAGTTGTAACCCTGGAGGATCAAATCATTTTGGATTTTGAACGGCAGCTATAATAATAAATTAACGTGAACTACATTGAATAGCTGATTAAAATTATAATTTTGAGTGTGAAATAGTATTTTATTCAAAATTGGGTACTCTTTTGTGGTTGCTGGGGGTAAGTATACATTTTATCGCTATAATTGAGTGTCTTGTAAATTAAAGTAGAATTTCCGCGGTTCTCCGCTATTTTTCCCGTCATCTCCATAGAGATGTCACCTCACCCTTGACGCCGCCCTGTCGGCAGGCGCCACCGACACTGAGCGTCGTCCGAACGTGCTGCACGGCACGGAGGTACCGTACGTCTCCTCCGACTTTTGTTCGTCGCCGGAGGTGTGGGGCGCCCTGTTCAACGGCACTGGCCAGCTGTGCGCCGGTGACACGGCCGGCGGACGGGACTCGTGCGGCGGCGACTCGGGCGGTCCGCTCGCCTGCCGGGACGCCAGTGGTGAGTGGGGACACCAGTGCTGGAATGGCAGGGACGCCAGTGGTGGGTGGGGGACACCAGGGCTGGAATGGCAGGGACGCCAGTGGTGAGTGGGGACACCAGTGCTGGAATGGCAGGGACGCCACTGGTGAGTGGGGGGACACCAGGGCTGGAATGACCGAGACGCCAATGGTGGGTGAGGGACACCAGGGCTGGAATGGCAGGGACGCCAGTAGTGAGTGGGGGATTCCAGGGCTGGAATGGCACTGGCAGGGACGCCAGTGGTGAGTGGGGACACCAGGGCTGGAATGGCAGGGACGCCGACGGCTTTTAAATGAATGCAACGCGTCCCCGAGCGCTGTTACACATGTTTAAGCCGGTAATTGATTTATGTCGACGTTTTAGCCATCCGAGGTCTCCCATCCTCCATGCTGTCTGATGTCTGCTGTGTTCTTGCCGTCTAACTGTACTATTTTATAAGTTCCGGCATACAAGTCACATGAGCTGCTCCACGCGCTCGTGACTGAGGTCTCCTGCGTCTTTTAATCTCCCCAGTCTCAGCCAACCTGAGACACAATAGCCCATGCGGCCTGGCCATTGCCAGCCTGACGGTATCACATCACCCGTCTTTCAGGCCGTTCTGGCGCGTAGGATAGTCCCTGGGGCTCAGATACTGTCCCCGGTCGCCTATCTGACCTCTCCTGGGGCCCAGATGTTCGATGTATGTTTCCTGTCTGACCTATCCTATCTTTCAAGCCAGTGCAGTGGCTGGGAGGCTGACATCGTCTCCTGGGGACCAGATGTTCGGTTTACGTCTCTCCTCTCCTGTCACTCCTTTTTGGCGTCTCCTGACATATCCATTGTTCCAGGCCGGTGGCTGGCGGCCGGTATCGTCTCCTTTATCTCCTGTTGTGTCTCCTTTCTGGCGTCTCCTGACATCTCCATTTTTCCAGGCCGGTGGCTGGCGGCCGGTATCGTCTCCTGTTGTGTCTCCTTTCTAGCGTCTCCTGACGTCTCCACTGTTCCAGGCCGGTGGCTGGCGGCCGGTATCGTCTCCTGGGGCTCCGACGACTGCGGTCAAACGGTCCGGGTTGGCGTCTACACCCGCGTCTCCGCTTATGTGCCGTGGATCGTATACGTAATTGACAACGTGTTCGAATTCAGCTCCGGCTAAAGTACAACTGCCCCAATGACGTCACTGGTGGAATACAGCGGCTAAGTGTGGTTGACGTCATTGGAGGAACTCAGCCACAGCGTTCTACTGAGACTTACCGAGCCTTTGTTATCCGGGAGCTTGTTCTTTCGAGTGGCTTAGAGCTGCCTGTGGGTAGTTTTTTTTTTTAACGAGAACTGTCTGCAAAATGTGCTCAGTAGGTGGGATATTACGAGAACGGGACAGACGTAATCTTTGATATTTTTGTGGGATTTTCGTGTCTTATTGTAATCCATCTCGTACTCCATAACCTACTCTATATGCCACTGTAAGAGTCATTATGCGAACGTGAACGGACTATGGACACTGACAGTACTTCGTGACTGATGTCGCACCGTTTGGGAATCTGGCGTCTCCACCTTGAGGGCGTGGTGTTTTAAAAGAGGTGTGAAAATATATTCAGTACCGCACCACTTTCACTACATCTTGTATTCATCATTGAACATGTTGCTTTCAACACAAGTAAAATTGTAGCGGTGCATTGCTCATTGCTCCAAGGACGGACATTGACAGTTTCGTTCCATGGTCGTGTGGAAAACTGCCGGCTAGGAAATGTAAAAGAGGGTCTGTTATCGACGGCGGGGTCTGTCTCAAAGGCTGCGGTAATTTAGATAAGATATGCAGTTGCACGCACAGATTCGTAAATAAATGGAACGTCTATAGCAATACGCTGTAATTAAATTCCAATGACGATTAACTTGCTGCGACGACCCACACTAAGTGCTCTAGTATCTCTATACTATATATGATTTAAGTAAGGTTTAACCCAAGTGAAGGAAGGCAGCCTTTGAATTGTACAGCAGCCCATTTTACATCACCATCCATTATACATCAACCCGCGCTCCGTACGTAGTATACCGCGCGTACGGTATACGGCTGCTCTAACACGCCTGCACCCCGCTCCCCCCCCCCCCTCCGGATAGCAGCCGGCGAGCGTACACAAGGTCACCGGGCGCCGGCGCCGGGCGCGGCGACTGATGCGCGACTGGCTCAGTGCAAGGGCTCAGTGTGCTCAGTTGGTGTCCGGAGCGCGGTGCGGCGGGGAGCGGGCCACGTCTCTCAGCACCGCACTCGGTCGTGCAGTCTATGTGAGGACTCCAGGCTCCAGCACTAATTGGTCATAGCATCTGCCGCGAGAAGACTATCACAAGTCGCCGCATTTGATCGCAATGTGGGACCTAGCACCTTCCATCGCGGCGGCGGCCGGTAGTGCTCTGCTGGGTCTAGTGTCGGTGGTGGTCGGCCGTACACTACTGGCCCGTCGGCGGCACTACGTTTTCAGCCCCGCTGACCTGAGCTCGGCTGACCTGACCGCGGAGGACCTGCAGGGCAGCGAACAGCGTCTGGCGGGGGGTCTGGCCATACCGACCATCTCTGTGTCTCATGACGCCCCGCCACCCAAGAAGGAGCTACTCGACTATCACAAACATCTCCGAGAGAGTGAGTACTGCATGCGTGCTGGTGCCGAGGTGATGTCTGTTGCCAGTAATGTGTCATTTATCTGTCGTCGTTGATCAATTTGCGTTATTTGCCTGTTGTATACCGTATGCGTCCGGTTGTTGTTTCTAATAACTCGCACAAGATCACCTGTTTTTATGCACATGCCATGATGTTAATCGTTGCAAGACACGCTGTAGGCGTCCGGTAACCTGATCTGAAAGTGTTTATCCAGATGACATCGGTTCCGGCCGTGGCTGGGAGTGTTTAGGGTGCGAGTTTTAGCGTCATTCGGCGAAACCACGCCACCCCGGGTTCTCCTCTTGATCGTCTGACCATCCCCGTCCGCCCGCAGGTTTTCCAACCGTGTTCAACTCTCCGCTGGTTACGGTGGAGATTGTGAACGAGCTGAGTCTGCTGCTGACGGTGCACGGCTCGCGGTCCGAGCTGCGTCCCTACCTGCTGCTCTCTCACATGGACGTAGTGCCCGTGAATGAGGAGCGCTGGAACCACCCGCCGTTCGGAGGCCTGATCAAGGACGGCTTCATCATCGGTCGGGGAGCCATCGACGTCAAACAGACCACGCACGCTATCCTGGAGAGCTTGGAGCACCGACTGAAGACTGGAGACGCGCCGAAGCGGTCACTCTTCGTCGCACTGGGACATGACGAGGAGATTAACGGCACGCGAGGAGCCAAGGAAATCGGTAAGCTTCTGGGAGAGCGAGGCGCCCAGCCGCTGTTTATTATAGACGAGGGCACGGCCATTCTGGACCGGTTCATGCCGGGCGTGCGCTCCCTGGTGGGGGTGGTGGGGGTCTGTGAGAAGGGCTACCTGTCCGTGGAGGTGACGGCTCGCGGCGAGGCCGGCCACTCGAGTATCCCGCCGCCGGAGACGGCCGTCGGCCGGCTGGGACACGCGCTGGCCCGTCTCCACCCGAACCCGCAGCCGCTGCTGCTCGGCCGCGGCCCAGAGATGGAGCTCATCCAGCTGGCCGGCGCCGTGGCAAAGGGGCCGTTCAGGTTCGTCTACGCCAACTTCTGGCTGTTTAAAGGTCTCATCCAGAAGGCGTTCCTCAAGAACCGTGCCATGCAGGCGACCATCCAGACGAGCACAGCTGTGACTATCATAAAAGGTGGCTACAAGGAGAACGTCGTGCCCGGCGAGGCCACGGCCGTCATCAACCACCGCGTCTCACCGCTGATGGACCGTGACGCCGTCATCGCCGTCGACCGCGCCGCCATGCGCGACCCCTCGCTCGAGCTCAAAGTGCTGCGCGAGAGCGCGCCGTCGCCGATCGCTCCGTACGGCGAGGAGGACGGCCCGTTCGGTCTGATCGGCGCCACCCTACAGCAGATGTACGGAGACGAGGCGATGGCCGTGCCGGGGGTGATGATCGCCAACACGGACACGCGGCACTACCTGGAGCTCACCGATCATGTGTATCGATTCAACCCGATCGTGCTGCGGCCGGACCAGCTCGGCATGTACCACGGTGACAATGAGATGATTGCCGTCGACAACTACCACCACTGCGTCCGCTTCTACTACCGGCTGATGAAGAACTCGGAGAGTGACGCCGCCGTGGCCAAGATGCCGTGAAAGGTGGTGAGCGGTGAAGGGTCTCTCGCAGAGGCAGATCAGTGGATAGCGGCAGCCCGGGCTTCGAGGAGAAACGACTCTGCAGTTGGAAGCACACGGCTGACCAGCGACGGGCTGCGATGGATCAGCGATGAGCTCTATGAGATGGGTTCGCACATATAGACACTGTGCTGTTACCGGGTCGTTAATGCCATTTGTCATTATTTTGACGGCTGTGTATTTTGTTGTATGATTTATTACGTTAATGAAGGTATGCAACGCGCTATAAATGGGCAATATGAAAAGGTTGTTGTTAAGCAGCCCTAAATGCACATTGCATTAAGCATTTGAAGGACAGCCTTGCTAAATATATGTAATGGAAAAGTTTGTACATGTAATTGACTGGCGGCTTTGGGTTCGTTCTTCCTTCGGTTATGGTTACTCCCCATGAATAGACAGAAAAGAGCGCCGACAGGCGACCTCATAAATTAATAAAATAGTTCAGTGTCCCGATGCTATCGTATTAGGATCAAAATGCAGTGAAGGTCAACAAGCCATGACAATGCATTTCATCATGTCTCCACATAATCATACCTCACGAGGCGCAGCAAGCACCTGATTCAGAAGTACTTGGCCTCTGACATGAGCACCCGAGCTGTGACATGAGCACCTCCACTTAAGGGCAGGACACACCTCAGACCAATGCGATATCGCCGTATCTCCTCCACTATCGGCAGCGACAAGACACCTCACAAAAACACTGAGCTCGGCCCACCGCCCACGTGGATATGTAAAGCTTTATTTAGCCACTGGCGATGCGCACCGCGTCGGTAATATATAAAGTGAGTGAGGGCGACGGTCGACGCCCGTCGACCTGCGCGCGCCGGCGAGCAGGGCTGCGACGAACCGCGCGTCACCACGACTTGAGCTGGCGTCGGCGGCGCGCCGTCCGTTTGTACAGCGGGGGTCGGTCTCTGGCAGCGCCGCCGCACGCTGCGCGCCGCTCGCGACATGACTAGAGCTTTGGCAACCACGGTGGCGCCGCCTGCGCGCTGCGGCCGGCCCGTCGTCGGCCGCCTCTCAGATATATCACAGCGGCGCCGGCCACATTTTACCGAGAGCAGCGGCAGCCAGAGCGCCACGCGCGCGCCCAGCACCATCTCCCGGCGAAAAATTAAACTAGAGTTTGGTCACGGTGCCTCTGGCGGCGCCTCAGACGGGCGTCACGGTGAGCGTCTCCATGTCGCTGATTGACTTGACACGCCGGTGCTGCTTCTCACGCTGCGTCTCACAGCTGCTGGCCGTCACTACCGACTGGGGCCGGTCCGGGGGTGGAGCGGGCCGGCCCCCCGCCCCCGCCCCCGCCGCCGCCGCCGCAGCCGTCACCGGCACCCCGCGCGGTGTCTCGTACACCGGCTCCCTCGCCTGCTGCTCCTGGCGCGCCTTCAGGCCGAACGCTCTGCTCAGCGACCCCTGGCGGAGCGGCGGCACGGACCGGTCACACAGCGTCGGCTCCGAGAGGAGAGGAGACGGGTGGGGGCGTGTGGGGAAACTATGGGCGATATAGGGAGGCAGGGGAGCAGGGCAGGGCGGTCACACGCACACGAGGGTAAGCTGTTGATTATGTTTAGCGTATGTTAGCTTACTGAACATCGAATCATCGTATGTTGTCGATAACCAGTTCAGACACAAAACAAGTAACACCACATTAAAATGACACATGAAAAATGTTAAATGTTAAAAAGCCAGCGCAAGCGCGATATTCCATGCTAAATTGCACCTCACGCCATGGTTTGGGAATAGCGATCAATGCATAATTATGTGAAGTATAACCAATAAAAGTATGATAAATAGACTGACCAATAGACCGGTGTTTACTTTGTTCCAACATATGTCTCAATAATGGTGCACTGTGTAGGTACTCTGTAATGCAGTGTTGTAGTGCCAGAGCACTGTAGGGCAGTGCCGATAGTCGAGTGCCGAGGAGGCTTGATAGGACGACAGGGTCCAACGACTCGCTGACAGCATCATGACTTGTGAGTTAGACTGAGCTAGTTGCCACCCTCCCCGCCACCCGGTGAATTACCCCACACGAACACCAACCATCAAGTGTCCCCGGATAACACGAACGATAAAGTGAACTTTGAATTAGATACCCGATGAACTTTGGCCACACCCGCCCGAAAACACAAAACGAGCCACATCCAGACACCAAAGCAAATAGGACTAAGGTACCGTATAACTAACGACTACATAATAAAAGCTTGTATCGTTGGCTATACGAGTTAAGTTCAGGTAGAATATGTTCATATCCTATATCAACAACGGACATAGATTCGTTTGTGTATTTTTACTTTGATGTTGGCGGTAAGCAACGCGTAATGTAAAAGAATGCAAAAAAAATATAGAAAAGATCAAATTGTGCAGATACAAATCTATGCAGATACATTCAAAACGGCTTTGTTATAAATAACTTTGTCGGTCGCGTGCATGGACATAGCCAATGAAGCTATCGACTCGCAACTTTACTGCAGCTGTGGTATGTGTAAAGCGTAGTACCGGCCAACATATAACCTCTTCTTTCACTGCATACAGTGAAAATTGCTTTGTCTATGTCCTCATGATGTTAATGTCGGCATCAGCCGCTGCTACAAGTCTACAGATCAACACAAATCATGCGCCACAAATACAGTAACGAGCAGCTCGGATCCTCGGGGAGGGAGTAAAACGACTACATCAGCGGTCGGCAGGCAGACAGACATACAGACGAACGGGCGGCGGGCGGGCGGGCGGAGCGGCTAGTTACCTGCGAACTGGGCCATGCGGAGGGCTTGGGAACATCAGAACGGCACTCAGTACGGACCCGGCACAGGGTATCGGGCGGGACTCATTCGAGACGGAACCGTAACGGCACCGGCGACATCGGAATCGGGGCTCAGAGGTTTAGCAGACAGGACCCTTGGTTGCATCTGCATGGGTAGGTACTCAAATGGGGGTTTACATACTTCAGCCCAATCCAGGCATTATCCATTTCTAGGCATAAAAATGGATAAATGAACTTCCGATGGCACCGCTGCCGTTCCGTGCAGGGGCGGATCCAGAAAATCTCCAAGGGAGGGGCCATTAGAAACCAGGAGGCCCCCCCCCATAATCCCACCTGTTGGAGGCCCCATCTTCCCACTTGTTGGGCCCCCCCCCCAAAAAAAAACTGCGTCTATTGAGCTTATCTAGCTGTTCAGGCAACATCTCAACATCTGTGCAGGCTTGGAGGCCCTCTGTGCAGGTTAGGAGGCCCTGTAAAAGTGGTCATCTCTGTGAGTATAAGAGACCTCCAAGTTATGAAAAGCTTTACCAATCTTCTAACAAAGAAGTCTTCTCAGCTAGTCTTCTAAGAAATAACTAAGTGGGTAGGTTAAAAAAAAAAACTCATCGGATTTCGGCCACTTTATTTTCAGGAGGCCCCCTTTTCAGCTTTTTAACTTTTTAACTTTTTATTTTATTTTTGAAAAAAATCGGCCAAGGGGGGGGCCATGGCCCCCATGGCCCCCCCCTTGTATCCGCGCCTGGTTCCGTGCAACAAACAAATTCATAAAACACTCCTGCGTGAAAAAGGACAACTGAACTCCAAAACGAGCCGTCACAATCTGGGAATGTCAAACAAGGTGAAACTGAATGTTAACACTATCGACTTTAGGCGCGGCTCTGGCCTAATCGCCACGTCACTTTCAACAGGCAGTGAGTTACTGGGACTACAATTAAAATGTCACCGAACTTAAATATCACCCACACGATACATAGTTAGCAGGCAAACGGGAAGTGCAAACCTTTTTGTGCATGAACTGGAGTTGCATGTTCTGTGCAGCGGTCGCGAAAGGTGGAAAGTATTAGTAAAAGTTATCACTCCCGTGGGATGTTATTTCAGCACGGAACATAACGATAGAGTAGGATATTGACTTGACTTATGCATCATACACCATACATAGATTTCGCCCTCACAATCAACACAAGCGTTAAACCAATAAGGGGCCCGCCAGTTACCTCGATGATCTCTATAAAACTTGTAAAAAATAGTGAGGGTTAAAGGGAGATAATGACCTTTTTCCACAAAATCTGAGTTAGGATCATTTTCTGACAAAACACAACAAGTTATAATGTAAATTAAAACCATTTTGCTCAATGCGGTACCTTGCCGCAAATATCTCAACTTGAAGTCACGTTAGCGGGGAGCGCTGAAAATGACCGTTGAATAAGTACTTACATCACTTTTTGGTACTTGCATGTAATTTTGTACAATGAGCGTATTCCTTACATTTGATCTTCATCACATCTAGTTAGTTAATGGTCGTCTATAGTGCCTTCAAAAGATATTCATGGTTTGGGGGTGGTTTATGTCTAAATTTACGCAACTATTTTTCCTGTTCATCATCTGAGGCCATATGCTGCTATTTTAGTAGCAACGACTCAATTTTGAATCGGTCCCGCCGACTGCACAATAAAAGAAGATAGATACAACACTTTTGCGGCATCACTGAAAAACTTATGCAGTACTGTTATCAAAATTCTCATAACACCGTTCGACAAACCTGAAGTCTTTTTGAAATAAATATGCTTGTATTTTTCGCTTCAGGCTCTGAGGCCAAAATAATGAATTTCGTAGTCGCAATCGCAAGATTTGGCTGCGTTTCTGGCGCATGCCGTTCATTTGTGGCGCAAAATAATACTTGGAAACAAAGAAGAGTAGGCACTATGTACGAATCTAATTAATTCTAAACCGAATTAACTCTAATTCAAATTAGAATCCTTACAACCAAGCAACGACAAGGCGATAACATAAACAAAAACCCAAGCGTCGCTGTTTGAAACAAAAGCGCCATATACTGCGACTTTTTTATAGAGAAGGACAAGAAGGACAACGCATTTCGGTGGGTGTTACAAGTACTGCAAGTACTGCTTCTTTTTTGCAAAAATAAAAACCTTTTTCACATACGAAAATGTGCTAGGAAATTTTCATATTTTATAGAAACTACAGTAGAAATAGTATAGATGTCGAGTAATTTTTATTAAAGAAAAAAGAAAGCTCATTATCTCCCTTTAATGGTCTCCCAAGTAGAATGAAAAGAAAGGCTGTGCGTGAAACACTCTGATCACATGCAATCACTCGAAATGACATAGCTCCCACCACCCAGCTACCCCAAACTTCCACCAAAACCAGCCTCACCCTCTCCTCTCCCCTCTCTCCCTCTCTCCCTCGCTCTCTCCCTCCCCATCCGCCCCGACCCTCACCCGGAGGCTGGAGCCGCGCTTCTCCTTATCCGAGGAGCGCTGCAGACCGCTCGCGTAGGAGCGGGAGAACGGCCGGCCGAGGGTGGCCGAGCCGGCTCCTGATCCGCGCTCCTGCTGACGCTCCTGGCGGCGCCGCTCCTGCTCCCAGCGCGTGTAGCGAGCCTCCTCGTCCAGGAGTGCCCTGGGAGATACAGACGGGGATGAGTTAGAGAACGAGGGGTCCTGTGGTACTTGTCCAGTAGTGCCAATTGGCCTGGAAAGTAATTTAAACTCGACATCGAGCCGTACCGGTAGGCGGTATAATCCAACTACAACTACAACTACTGTATATCTTACGTTCTGGTGGGCCGAATCAGCCATTCGGTCTTTATTCATTGCCCTCACCTGGCGGGCTGGACCAGCTTATCCATCTATCTCACCTGGCGGGATGGACCAGCTTATCCATCTAGCTCTTACCTGGCAGGTCGGACCAGTTTATCCATCTATCTCACCATGCGGGCCGAACCATTTATCCATCTATCTCACCATGCGGGCCGGACCAGTTTATCCATCTACCTATCTCACCTGGCGGGTCGGACCAGTTTATCCATCGATCTCACCTGGCGGGTGAGATCGATCGAGAGGTGGACCAGTTTATCCATCTATCTCACCTGGCGGGTCGGACCAGTTTATCCATATATCTCACCTGGCGGGTCGGACCAGCTTATCCATCTCGGCAGCCAGGTGTCTCCGGATCATGGATTTGGACTGAGGCACGCCCAGGGCAGTGGCCATGGTGTCGGCAGTGAACGAGAGCTCCAGCACCACCAGAGCGCCGTGCACTCCCGAGTCTGGGAAGAGCAGAAAACGACGGTCAGCTATGGTAAATAGTCATAGGTAGAGGCGAATTAGGGAGCTAACATATTCAGTCTTAGGCGAGAGTCATAAAAATTGTTAATGTTTCTGAAAACGTATCGCAGCCGACCTCTCCTAGTGAGAGAGCTCCGCGCAGTAATATCAATCAAGCTATGCGGTACAGCCTATCAGTAGGCGTAAGAGCAGCTAGCGCCATCTAGGAACAGTCAACAGAAACAGCTAGGAACTGCATACGGAAATATCGTGTTTAAATACAAACACTGCAATATTGCTTCGGGGAGCAACATTACCTAGTCAAGAACACGGAAGAACAGGGAACTCTCTAAGCGTAATTTAAGTAAGAAACTGCACTTATCTAAAGCTGTAGCTACATAAAACCTTCCATCGCCACACTCGTCTCTCTCCCCTGTCGTCGTGACCCTCACCTTTCAGGTTGTCGGCGTACTCTGCCAGGTCGATGGAGCGCGCCCAGTGCACGAACCGTGCGTTGGTCCACACCAGAACGTCGTTACCCGTCAGCTCGCTGCGCTGCCGACGCTCGCAGATGATCTGTCGGTCAAACTGCAGCAGTCGCAGCAGCTGGATGCCGTGCATCATCGACACCTGGCGGACAGTGGGGGAACTGTTAGTTTGAGAATCACCACGGCGCAAGACCGTCGATATCTGTGACCACAGACTGGCTCACGATTCATACGATTCACACGGTTTTCAAGAGCATACGATTCACACGGTTCCATCTTGTTCATCCGCAGGCCAGTCAAATTTTTCTCCACGCCTCTCGCCCCCGGATCTGGGCTGGACGGTCACCTTCATCCGACGAGAGTAGCTCCTCAGGAGCGGGCTCACAAGCGGACTGCGGAGGGATAACCGTTAGCGGGACTGGTTGGGCTGTCTTCTATGACAGGCCCAGCTCCGGTGGCCCACGAGGCTAGACCTGTGTCTCTCCCTGACTCCTGTTACCCTTCCAGCTTTACAAAGGTCTCCATTAGAGCGAAAAAGGCTGGCTGTGCAAAGCGAAACAAGCGTGCCCATCACACGCCTTATTAGCTCCTCTACAGAACCCACCCATTCCCTCACCTGGTGGAACTTCCTGGTGACATTCAGGTAGCGCTCCATGTCCTTCTTGGTCAGGTGGGCCAGCATGCGTCCGTCCATGAGGTGTGCGCTGAACAGCTCGGCGTACTGAGCCAGCCCAATGTCGGGCAGCCACTCCGCCGCCACCCAGCCGTGGTTTAGCTGTGAGATGTACGGATATTTGCAGAGATGCGGCTGACGGAGCTCCTCGATGGCCAGTCGCAGCTTCTTCTTGTGCATGGGCTGCTGAATGCCAAGACATCGCTCCAGGTCCACGTCGGTTAGCTCGAGCATCACCTTAGGGAGGTAGCAGGAGCGTTAACTGGAGAAGCAGCTGCTAAGGGTACTGTAGAAACTCAATTCGTAGCACTTAGCAGATATGTGCCAACTAGGGATAAGACATCAAGCGCATCTGAATGATTCGAATGTCACATAAGCTTCAAATCATCAGCCACAGCAAAGATTGAGATGTCAAAACGGTTCGCTTTCTGGCCTTACCCACCAGGTACAGACAATGCTGAGTTTCAACAGTCTCCCGAGACGGTTCCGAGTTTCGACTGCCGTACCTTTCCGGACCGGACGTTTTCCGCGCAGGCCGGTCCATACTGGGGCATGCCCAGTGTGACCTGGAGCCAGGCGAGCACCATGGAGGCCTTCCACCGCTCCATGGGCAGCTGCTGCGCCTCCTCTAGCAGCCGCAGCTTCTCGGCGTACGACTCGTCCGTCAGCGGCGAGGAACAGAGCGACGAGTGCGGCGACCACGAGTCGTCGTCTGCGACCAGTCGTCCACCGGCTGACGTTAGTGGGGCGACTGGACACCAGCAGCGGCTGAGCATGCGGTGGACCGGGCACGGGCAGACGGCACGGGGTCGGACGGAAGGATGGCACGGGTCACGGGCCGGCGTGAGTACGGGAAGGTGAGGATCATGGCAGGCCGGGCGTGACACGGAATGGGATGGATGACACGGGAAGCGAGACGGCACGGGTCACAGCGGGTTGTGACGGCAGGGTCGAGTGGTGTGAGGCTAGGGGCGGGACGGACTGCTACCTGGTTAGTCAGCGGAGAACACAGAGCGACAGACCCTGTCGGGCTGGGCGAACGGGACGCGGGACCGACACCATGAGACAAAGCTAACGGAGCACACGCGCGGTTAGAAGCTGATTAATGCTATGATGGCTTGCCGGCGGGCTTGGCCTGGGCATCTGCCAAAGACGAGAACCATCTGTCAGCGGCGGCCGCCGCGGCGGGCCGGCCTGTGACGTCAGAGCGTACTAATGACGTCAGAAACGGCATGAGGCTGTCTGGTTCCTCTCGGACCTCTCACCCCTGCACCACCCGCCGAGGTACAGACTCCTCCCACTCAGCAGTCTGAAAGCCTCCGTCACCCCCACCCCCCTAGACGTTGACCTGTCCACTTACTCGTATGGCTGCCCATGTGGAGTTGTTTCCGCTGCTTCTGCCGTGAGAAAACCCGCGATATGCTGCCCCAGGTGCCCTGTTTAGCACCAGCCTTGGGTCGCAGTTTGCGGTCGAGCTGGTCCAGCGAGTCAAGCTGTTCGGCGGACTTGGAAATGGCGCTGAGGTCGACGGCGTGCGATAGAGTTAGCGGCGACATTGTCGGAGAGCCGCGCTGGCCATCCACGGCTGCTGGGAACGGGCGGAAAGGTCAGAGGACGGTCACAGGGGGGCCAAGAACGGCTCACACGGGGTCAGGGACGGGTCATACAGGTCATAGATGTCTTAAGGGTAAAACATAAGGGCCCTACGGATCACGAGTCGCATGGGTCGCAAGTGTCAGACTCAGACAGGTCATGGAGGTCAGAGGGCATTGTCAGTTCAAAAATGAAGGTCAGACAATACTCTGTCGGTATAAAAATGTCACAGGCGTCGTAAGAAGGTCATACAGGTCACAGAGCCGTCAGACGGAGGGGTAAGTAATGCACAAAGGTCAGACACCAGAACACATCTGTCACAGGGCTCACGGATCCATTGCAGATGCCAGTCACAAAGGCCAGAGACGATCAAACGAGTGTCAGAGGCCAGATGATAAAAGACGGATCACAGTGGTCCGACGGACCACAAAGAATTACAAAACAGGCCAAAAGGCGTATCATAGGTAAAAATGGTCAAAGATCATGAAGGTCAGAGTAGTCATTAGTAAGGTAATCAAAGTCTACCTTGATCTAAGATGCGCATGACCCCACGACTGATCTCACAACTAATGTTATACTGGGCGGTATCTGAGAGGGCGGCAAAGTAGCATAAACACATACTCTTATTTGTGATAATGCTTAACAATGAACGGTTGCCTTCAGGTAATCACATATGATACACGTAATGCATAAGGTATTCAATACATTGCGGTTGCAAGCCCCGAGCGACGCACAAAACACGAAAAAAATGATTGTCATCTGCTGTACCCTGCCTTGCCTCTAGCGACCATGCAATGAAACTGAGAGGCACTATGAACCAACTGAACCAAGCGACATCAGGCTGTCTGGAAATTCCAAAACACAAACAACGCAAGGCTCAATCAGCAGCAGACAAACAGCATTGCCGGAGAATCGTCACCCATTGAATACGACACAGCACTCTTAAAATCAGCTCAGCATAATGCTTCGACAGAAACGCTATAAATCTAACAAAATGTTTCACAGCAGCCAGCACGCCACGAGGCAGATGCTAGGAGATGTTAGAATCAAAGCCACAGAATAGCATGCAGCATTCGGATGTTGTCGTTGGACGCCTGAATGTACGCAGTCCGTAATGAGTCCGTTAGGGCACCAGAACCTATGTACATTGTATATCTATAAGATGATAAAATTTGTCAATGGAACGTCGACGAAATAAATATATATTATTCCTTCTCCAGATCATGCTTATCTAATGATACCTTTAAAATCTAGAGACTTTACATAATGTCGTCTAGAATAAACCTCTTCATAACGGCAAATCGGCTTTTATGGCATGGACCAAAGCTTACCAATTGTTAGCTTTACTTCTTTTTAGATGTAAGCCAAGTGTCTCAATAAAAGTGTGCGCTGCAGCAGGCTGCGTAAGCCGTTAGCGTACTACGGATACACAGCAGAATGCACAATAAAATACTACAGCTGTAAACGATAGGGCGTTGCGGATGCATGAGCAGATAACGTATAGTTAGCCATAACGTTTTTCTTTTAAACAGCAAATGCGTAAGGAATTTTTCTCGTACTCCCTGAATAAAAAGTAGCGTACTATTTTGATTTTTGGGCATCAGCCAACCAAGCTAGTGAAGCATACACGATCATGTAAATTCACGGATACGTAATTTCAAAGATAAACAGCGTTAACACATAAACACATCCCAGCCGCATGTTCCGTCAACAAAACCCTCTTGCTTCTCTTATAATCCCCATCTCTACAGACGGACTAAAGCAGCTACACAACGAATCATCACACTAAGCGGAGCATGCGAGTCGAGCTAAGCCAACAGACAGGGGACGGGCGGCCGGCCATTCACTGAGTGAGTATAAACACGTACGGGTGTAGTAGTAGTATGGGCTGCACGCGGTCGCCGAAGAGACCATTGATATCGAATCATAGTCGGTAGGCACCGGGTCGCCAGCGCCGCCGCCAGCGGTCGGTACACCCGCTGCAGGACACGGGACAGACGCGGGGAGCGCGGGCTTAGGCCGGGACTGACGCGCGGAGGGCGGGCTTAGGCCGGGACTGACGCGCGGAGAGCGGGCTTAGGCCGGGACAAACGCGGGGAGGGCGGGCTTAGGCCGGGACTGACGCGCGGAGGGGCGGGCTTAGGCCGGAACAGACGCGGGGAGGGCGGGCTTAGGCCGGGACTGACCGCGCGGAGGGGCGGGCTTAGGCCGGGACAAACGCGGGGAGGGCGGGCTTAGGCCGGGACTGACGCGAGGGAAGGGTGTGGAGGGCGGGCTTAGGCCGGGACTGACGCAGGGAGGGCGGGCTTAGGCTGGGACGGACGCGGGGAGGGCGGGCTTAGGTCGGGACTGACGCAGGGGAAGGGCGCGCGAAGGGCGGGCTTAGGCCGGAAGAGACGCGTAGAGGGGTTGGCTTAGGCCGACTGAGTGTACCGCCGGTCGGTAAAATAGTCCCGATGGACGGACGGACGGAGGGATAAACTCACCGCGACCGGAGAGCGGAGAATGGAGATCTGACACTGCCTTGTGGGGGGTGGGAGGAACAGAGGCCGGTTGAGACAGCATGTTGGGACTTACAGAGCCAAAAGGCATCAGAAAAACGGAGAGCGAGTCGAACCAGCAGAGAGGCAAATGATCGAAGTTTCCGATAACATTGTAAATGACACAGCAAAACAAACAAATTGGAACGTTTGGAATTTAAACGAGACTTTCCTTATCAATCATCGTTACTGAATGTATGTCACTTTATACGAATAAATTAAGTAAATTTAAGCTGATGAGCGAGTTTGATGTCATTTTCTCCTATGGTAATAATCAGTATCGCTGTATTTTTTTCTCTTTTTTTTTCACGTACACATTATCAATAAAATTAATTAATTCAAAGCGAATGGCAGCAGGCTTACATTAAAGGAAAACATTTATGTTAAATGATATAAATTCGAAGTTTCGCCGAAACACTTACCACAAATCCATCGTGTAAGCAATAAAAAGTCATTTCAAGAAATACACAGTTGCAACAGGAGTTTGATATTTACAGAATGAATAGGGATAAATCTACAAATAATTGCGAATCAAAGCAGGATTTGCAAGGACAGAAGGATGAGAGAACCGATATTTCAGAAATTGTCTGCAAAGAAAGTAAGATTAAAATTAATATTAGAATATAAACACATAAACATACCAAGTGTGAGAGATAAATTGTTATTGACAGTAACATAAAACAAGGTGTCGTGTGCGCTTGGTCGGGTCTGTCGAAGAAGACAAAACCGTTTCCATAGATGGCCTGATAATCCCAAGGCGCCGTGAGCCTATCATAGCTTGAAATGGGCAGCACAAATGTATGTTTATTCATAAGATAATTAAAATAATTACGCACAAACCAGCCAAATTTCCTTCGAGTAAATTTCATCAATCCAGAAACATCGTGTAAAATATAATATTTAAACTATTAGCTGATCCAAAGAAATATTAACTCAGATTTTACATTGATGAGCTGATCACGTAGAGCAAATCATCTGTACTTTGATACCCAGGTTTCGATGATCAGGAGGTCACCATTCAATCGGACCCGACCAAGCGCACAGCCCTCAACCGAGCCACAGACAGAACAGAGTAGAAGAGAGCAAACAAAAGGTGGATGAACTCATCTGGCACGCACCACAGGCGGTGACACAGTACCCGGTCGTACCGTCGCCCGACGTGGTCGAGTCGCTCAGGTTTCCGGAGGTGCCGCCGGCGCCGGTGCCGCCGCCGGCCGCTACCGACTCGCGGTCCGAGCTCACCCGTACACCCGAGTCGGCGCTCGAGCCGCGGCCGTTCGGCGTGCCCAGAGCCGCCGGGGAGAGCGCCGGAGCGGCCGCCGGGGAGAGTGACGGAGCGGCCGGCGGCGGGCCACCGCGGCTCACCGGCGGCTTGGCCGAGTCGTGGTCTGAGTAGTAGCCCAGCTGAGAGAGCTGCTTCCGCAACTGCCGACAGCAGGACATGAAGTCAGGGTTAATTGACAGCATTCATAAGAACATCACGCTCCACAGAAAGTTGCATGATTTACATACAGAAAATAGCAAGCGCTTACTTCAAATTGTACACCCAGCAACAGCAACACTCACTTTGAGTCTTATGTCTTCAATCGCAGCAGGAATCGCTCTTTCAATACTGCCACCACAGTACCACTTATCTGAGTCCCCTCTACCCTCCTGGACCCTGTACTCACGCCGGTGAGCTCCTCAGTAATGTGTTTCAGCTGTCCGTCTTTATTACTGAGTTCCGCCGACAGGCCCACCGACCGCTCCGTCTCATCTCGCGCGTGCTTCAGGATATTCCACTTCTCTCGCTCCGTTTCGTCGCGCTCAGCAGCCAGCGTGCGTAGCGATTCGTCGTTTTCCTTGATCCTCTGAGAATGACAGCATTATCGGTCATCGTTAGAGGAATTGACGGACATCAGCCAGCGCCAGCTGTCAGCAGTATTGACAGCAGAGGCATCGTCACTGCGTCCGTCATCGTCAGAAACGTCAACGGATCATCAGCAGGGACGGGATCGTGGAGGGAAGCGATGTCGGCACGCCGGTGGGGACGGGAGACTGGCCGATGGAACCGTGGAACGTGACTGGGATATCGAGTGTCGTAGTATCGAGTCTGTCTACAGAGGATAAATTGAGGATAGCGAGCAGCGATAGTTTATACGGGAGACTATTGGAAAGGGGATCGAGACGAGGGATGTGGAATGAAGGGAAAACAACGAAAAAGGTTGAAGGGAAAGGCTTATCCTGCCTTTTACTTAGACATCGCATCACGGCTCAAAATATATAACGGCCGATATAAAAACGGCAACAATCGTACATACGAGCATTCCTCGGAATATCAGAGGATGAAATATATCGATGCATGGATCCAAATGAAATATTGCTTGTAATTCCTAATGCGGTAATGGTAAAATGGATTACAGAATACAGCTGGCTCGTCGCTGCCAGATAAATGTCGTGTGGAGTGAATCTGCTCATCGCACTGACAGCGTTGCGTTGAAAACATTGTCTCTTATTTTGCCAGGGTTATTGTAAAACAGCCAATCAAGAAAAGAAGTGATATGTTCGTCACTTAAAACAGATGTTGATATTAGCCAAGTTTTATTCGTCTTTATTTTCTGATTTGACGCTTATCCTTGCAATAGGAACTATAAAGCCAGCTGAAGTAACATACATGCGTGCTTCAAAACTCCACCGAACGAATTTCGCTTTTTACCAGTTCATAGTTGCGGATGAAATCCCTCAGTTCGCGCTCCTTGTCCTCTAACGTCTGGTACAGCTGCTTCATCTGGTTCAGCAGGTCAAACTTCTCAGCCTTCAATCGCTTCCGGTCGGCCTTGAGAGCTGTGGGACGGAGGACATTGACATGCATTTTAGTGACCTGGGCAGAGGCTAAGTAAGACGGTAACACGTACTCATGTATAAACGTACCTATGTACTCTGTAAGCTCCTTGTGCGGCAGCTCAGACCTTGGTTATTGACGGAGATGGAACAGGTCATTGACTCTAACAGGATACGACACTTCTCAACCAGGATAGAGCATTCAGTCATCAACCCGCTACATCAATAAACTCAACTCCAGGTGAAGTCATCTCGACTCCAATCTCATCGTGTCCTGTCTTCATTTACCAATGTCATAGTTTGTTAAACATGAAAATATGACGGCTACTTCTAGTGAAATAATATACAATGATCAGTTAAAATCATATCACAAACGGTAGTTGTATCGCGATCAAAGCTGGATGGCTCCTGCCTGTTGCTACAATCTTCAGACGAAACACAGAAGCAACACTACAGATGCGTCTACTAAATGCACCCAAGACTCACTGTATTCGTTCACCGCCACCCTCTTCCAGTCCCCGCCCGATTCCCAGCGCTCACCAGCTAACGCCTCCTTGGTGAGTGCCACCTCGGCCTCGCTGGCCTTCAGTTTGACCCTCAGCTGGCTGGCCTGTGTTTCCAGCGCGTCTCCGGCGCCGCTCAGGCCGGCCACCTGTGAGCGTAGGCCGGCTCCGCGCTGTCGCAGCACCTGGTGACTCGACTGCAGCAGTAGACATGCCTCGACGAGACGGGATTTGTCCATCGCCTGTAGCGCTGTCGGCAGAAGGAAAGGGAGGGGTCAACAAGGGGGACGGGTTTCAAAGGGCGGCAGGTCACACAGGGATGCAGATCATACAAGGATCAAAGGTCACACAGAGATGCAGATCATACTAGGATCAAATGTAGGTCCAATGCAGGTCACATGGGCCAGACAAAGGTCTCACAGGAGCCAGTGGCTAATAGAAATATCAAAAGTCACACATGGGCACAGGTCCTCAAAGGGGTACAGGCCACATACAAGGCCATGGGTCAAATGGCGAAGTGGAGGCACTATTGTGAGGAGGGCATCACAATGAAAAAATATATAAATGTTTGGCGTTGATGTTTGACTGGTAACACATGCGACTGTTGAGGCATATCGGCCAAACTAAGACCTTAACCCTCGCATGTGTGCGGCGTTTGCCAGCTTCTAATGTGTAGGGGGGGGGTCGGTTGGACCCCCCCCCCCTTGCCGTTTGGCCCCTGATCGAGCTAGAGCTTCGCGGAAAAAACGAGCGTGTTGCCCGTGACGAGAGGAAGCCGATGATACCCAATTTTAAGGTCCTAGGTCATTGGTTGACCTTCCAGGTCAGGTCAATGACCCAAAGTCGGGAAAATCGGGACCTGTTAGAAAGTCGTAAAGTGTGGCTGCTAAGGGGTTTTTCGGGGTGCTGATCACGAATATCGTGTTAATTTTGATCACAGATGATGTCTTGAAGCATTTATACCAGGTCGGGTCAGGTCAGGTCAGGTCAACCAATAGGCGTCGTGACGGGTATTCGTAGTACGTGTCAACCGCCTCTGACAGCTTCGTAACATGTTACAAAGTCACCAAAACTACTTCGTAAATGTTCAAATGGTTGCTAAATTCGAATTCAGCTCCAAAAACTAGCCTAGAAACATGTAAAACTCGAAAAAGTGACCCGAGGTCACCCGAGGTCACCAAAGGTCAATGACCTGACCTGACCTTCAGGTGACCTTGACACACACGGGAGTAACATCAAATCACATGTTTGAACGTTTGAAACCACGAAAAGCTTGCAAACACGCGGCTAGTGCGAGCCGACATACGCGAAATCGCGATTCCGGCCAAACATGGTCTCGGAAAAGAGGTCACAGGTCAAAGGTCATTTGGGTCAGGGTCATGAAATTTTCAGGGTAGGTGTCAAATTGATCAATGCGAGGGTACTGAAAGTTTCGTCGCGATCGGCCGCTTTTTACGCGAGTTATTTGCGAAAAACCATGGGGGGGGGTCCATCCGACCCCCCCCCCCTACACATGCGAGGGTTAAGATATGGGCACCAGCCTTGCCAATACGGAGAATGGTTCCCAAACAATATTGATCACTGAAGGCGTCAGTGCATCTAGAATGAAAAATAAAAAAAAATGATTTCAAACAGTTGCTGGAGTCCACAACACTGCACTGTGGATCCCTAACATTCCATCGGCACCTCAGCTCCGAACCTACCCCACTGCCGCCCGCTGCGTTACCTCGCCCCGCATACACCTGTCACGACTCCGCCCGCCCCCGGGAGCCGCCAAACATTTACCGGCCCTCCTGCTGAGGTGAGCAGCGAGCCACACTGAACCGCGCCGCCGGAGGGTGACTGGCCCGGCGACCGGACACGCCACAGCCGGCCCGACCCCCGCTGGAACCGGCTGGCAGCTCGCTGTGGGGCCGTCGGTAAAATAGCGCCGCGGTGTTGGCTGTGACAGCACCGGTGTCGTCGGCGACACAAAGGGCGGCGCCGCCGCAGCGGGCAGCCAACAGAGCGGCGAGGTCAGCCGTGCCGCCGCCGCGGCGTCTCAGACAGACGCAGATGCAGCGTGGGTGTAGGTAGGTAGGAGCAGTAGCGCAAATTGGGCAGCTAACGTCGGCCGTGGCTTGTGGAATATGCAAGTATAGCACAACACGGGGTCCTCAAAGTTTAACTAAGCATCCGTTCTTCATATAATTTCAGTGCTAAGTTTAAAGGCACGTTTTCGTTTCTTACTTATTTTCCCTAAAAAAGCGGAAAATTCAGCGGTCAAAACCGCAGTAGTCCGCCACACGCTGTCGCCAATGCTCCCCGCTAGATAACACTAGTGTGCGGCGCCGTAAGTTATGCTGTACCGCATAGCTTCAAATCCTGCCAATGGGTGGCGCTAGTGGTCAGCGCCTGCAATTATGCTGTGCCGGATAGCACCGGGCAATAACAAAGGATGCGGCCCGTGGTAATATCGATGTGAGAAAGCTTTTCGGCAGTACTCAAGCTGTTTTAGATATTTGCAGATGGGGAAATGTAATGGTTCGATGAAATATCACTGCGCAAAGTGTATGTCGGTGACGAAACAAGGATAAAACATTCGGTAATGCGACGTCACACGGGCCCTAAAGATAAGAGCTTGCGAACATAAAAATGATGTGTGGAACTATCAGCAACATTCTTTCATACTTTTACTCAACTCAGTTTTAAAACGCACAGCTGTTTAGTGAGCTGACCACGCTATCTCCATAAATATGAGCCGGCGGTCGGTAGATGGACCTCAGGTGTGAGTGAGCATCATCAGTCATCACCAAATGTGGACCGATCTCAGTCTATATCTCCGCCAAAGTGGGCTAGCGTTTGTCCTCATTCCCCACTATGGACCAATCCACATCACTGTGGATCGATCTCCTTCAGCCTCTCCACCAATGGTAGACCGATCTCCGTTCACATCTCCGTCCACATCTCCACCAATGTGGACCGACCGTTGGGGCGGCGGTCAGACAGAGCCCGCGCTCTGTCCTCCTCTGACACACGCCAGCCTCAATCGTGGCTAATTGGAGCATCAGTCAGTGGGGGCAGAGGACTGTCAGAGGGGATGTGCTCCGGAGGGGAGCAGGGGGAGGGAGGTCAGTCTCTGGGCGTAGCTGCTCCCGCGGGTGGCGGGGGGGGGGGCGGATCATGCTAGAGATAACTTTACTAATAAGTCATGGCATGTCATGGCAGGTCAACCGCATGTTATGCACATGTGATGGGAGACACGACAATGATGTATGGAGGAGTTCTGACTTGTCTTCCAGTCAACCCTCAATGACATTGAAGAGTGTCCAGAAATCAAGTGAATAGATCGCTTAAAAAAGTTAGTTCCCATCTCAGTATACCTATCACCGATTAACGACACTAAAGAGCTGCGTACGTTATGCGTGCGTGCAGGCGTTGCTTCCAGCTTACGTAGATACTAAATTGTCTGATTGTTACCTCTAAAAATATTGTCCTCCACAAAGCGCTATCTCTCTCATTGATCGTCATCTGTCTGATCAAAGCCAGCCTGCATCATCGACCTTCCTTCGGGACACACTTCTGAGGCCAAATAAACATTGAGCGCTGCCTTTCTTCGGGCCATGCGTTTAATGGTGCTGACGACGAAAAGCTGTGCCGTCCGAGAGGCGGTCTGAGTCAATAAACGGGACCGGCTCTGTCAGCAGTCGGCCACCTAAATCTATCGGCCAATTCATTTCCAGCTCGACCCTCGATTATTTCCAGTGGCCGCACCCCCACCGGTCCGGATCGGACTGCAGGCCGCAGTGAGCGCAGAACACCAGATGTGCCGGCTGCACTAGCTCCTTCATCTGATTCAAAGTTAGACAACCGTCCTGCTTTGAAAGTTTTCCGGTCAACAAAAAAGATGGCACAAAACTGGCATCAACGATAGAAGGGCGTCGGTTCTAATCTTCACAGCACCGCGCAAAAGTCAGTAGAATGAGACAACTTATGTGTAGAATGGACTTTAAGATATGCCATAAGATCAAAACGGAAGTCAATTAAAGGATTAACAACAATGAAACGATCTCAAACAAACACACAACTCATGTTCCAGAAATAATGAAAACCAATATTTTACAGCAGAATCACTTCCGGTTAGCTTTATGGTCTACAAACCAGCGCAGTCTGCACTAACCCGAGGCTGCAGACGCGCAGCCCAGCAGACGCCGCTGGCAAGACGCGGCACCTACCGCCTAGTCTGGCTAAAAAACCGTCTGGTTATGAGCGTGCCACACAGCAGGAGCCCATATAATCCACCGCATGAAAACCAGCTGAGGAACCCAGTGACTCGTAAAAGCATTCAGCGCTGCCGTCGCGGCGGCGCACGTCGCTGGGATCCGGGTGGACTCAGACGTATTTGCTGAGGCGTGACAGACAATGGCAGAGAGCAGATACAGCTCACGGCGCCAGTCTGATGTCAGTCGTCTGGATGGTTTTGTCGAACAAACGACGGGACGACGCGGGATGACATGGAAGGACACGGGAGGTCACGGAATGGCATGGGATGACACGGAATGGCACGGGCAACACGGAACGGAATGGCAGGCACGGAACGCACGCACGGAGGAGACGGGATGACATGCCAGTTTCGTTTGACGTGTAGCGCACGGCTTACGTCAGTCTTGATCGATTCCCGGGTTATAGATGACCAGTCAACTAGCCATCGACAGAACGGCTCGACAGGCCGGCTCGTCAGTGCGGCTGGGCAGAGCGATTCGGCTGCTGCTGTCAGCTAGTACGGGCCCTCGGCAGCCGCCGTCTGACTGTCTGTCACCAGTGGCGTCTGTCTGTCACCGGCAGATGAGCTATTCATCCGCAGATGAGAGGTCGGGCCAACGGTCGCGCGCCTCGGGGCAGGTCATCAGCGACCCGTCAGGACCCCGACTGGCTGGCCCGCCCTCCTGGGTGGCAATGAGTCAGACAGGTCGGCCGCCCGCCGGGATCTTTCCGGCCGACCCTCCGGGACATGTCATCAGAGTAGAGGAGCCGCCCGGTGTCCGAGCTGTCCCCAGTGGCCCTCAGAACCATCGGGTTAACAGAACGACTGCGGACGACCTCCGGCCAGCCGCCGGGCTCTCTGACAACATGAGATCACCACGGTTGACGTAATGGGCTTACCCATTTGGCACTGACGCCCGAGTCGCGGAATGTGAGGTGACGCTGCGCTGAGACGCACCACCGGACTTCAGTGGATACGGAACCGGGACGCGCAGGATTGAATCTCAGATGGATCGGTCTGGCTTCGATGGAGCTTAAAACAACATTAGCCAGACGGATCGCCAGACGAAACTAAAACGAAACTTATTATAAGAGCGAGAACACGTCTGTCGTCAAGCCAGGGCTATGGATAGCACGGCAATCCTTCATACTCTGACGTTTACGGCAACACACTAATTTCATAGGACGTGACGAAAGTTCGTTTCTAATTACGAACGCGGCACGAACTACCCCTTCCCAGCCCAGATGGTCATTCCTTTTCACCACCTCAGTCGACGTCATGGTCGAAAATAAACTCAGACAAACAGCAACAGACCCGGCCCCATTCACCCATCAGGCGCTCCATTCGGCCTTCAACGTCTCCTATGCCTACAGCTGGTCCACGTAGTTCTCACGTGAACTTAGCTGTCTAATGCTTTATCTCATACACATCCGACTTTTTCGAAGCTGGGGGTAAACTTCAAGTCATCAAGCTAATGTTCATATACATTGCCAAGTTCTTTGGATTTCAGATAGTGTGGAAACTCAGCATCTGCAGTGCCTAGCTTCTACTCTGTGTAGTTTGGCGGCAGGCCGTTCAGTTCCGTGACATGGAGCACACTGCTGAGCTTAGTGGCACCCCGCTCGGCCGCTCCGTAGGTATTGTGTGTCTTAAGGATCCACTACTCACCATTCTCGATAGCGCCATTCAGCGCTCCAGATGACAGCCAGAGCGACCTACGGAGCTGTGCGGCGTCCTGATGACTCGCGGCTCTCCGCGGGGTGGGCGCGGAGTCAGAGCAGTACACTTCCAGATACCGGTCGATGCAGTGCTCTTTGCAGAGCTCCGAGTGCGTGTCCATCAAACCCGCCTCGCAGCAGACCGTCTCCGGCGACCGGCCGCGCCCCAGAATCACCTCCGTGAGCTCTGAGGTCAGCTCTGAGGTCAGCGCTGAGGTCAGGGTCGAGGTTAGCGTCGGATCACCGGTCGGGTCATCCGGGTGGAGCTCGATCATGGCGTGGGCAGCGTAACGTGCCGAGTGCGTCTTCCAGTGTCGCGCTCTGGCCTCCTGCTCGGCGGTCTCCGCGGCGGCGCGCTGCGCGGCGATATATCTGAGAGATCGCGTGTCGTCGTCCGAGTCGTCCGGCGGCGGCGGCTCCTCCTCATCGCCGCTGGCCAGGTAGCCGTCCCGCAGCCAGGGCAGGTACCAGCGCTTCACGGCGTCGCGCGCCAGGCTGTGCGCGGCCTGACGCCTCTCGCGCCGGTGCCGTACCAGCAGGTGTCCGGGCTCGCCGCGGCGCCGCCGGCCGCTGCCGCTCCAGTCATCACCGTCACCGTCGTCGTCCGGGTCTCGGAGTGCGCGGCGCCGCTGTTCGGCCGTCAGCCGCCGGTTGGAGCGGTACCGGCGCCGCGTCTCGGTGCCCTGCACCACGAACAGGCGGCCGCGGCGCGTCTCCCCGCCGCCGCCGCCGTCCGACCTCTCGGAAGAGGCGTCCCGAGGGACCGGCTCATCCGTTACCCGGCTGACCCACGCCGCGCGCTCGACCGTACCCGGCTCCAGGGAGCAGCGCTCCTCGTCCCCGGCTCCCGGCTCCTGCTCCGTGGTATCCCATGGGTCTATGCAGCCACGCTCGGCTCCGAACAGCTCCTCAGAGTCCGCAGAATTCCGTCTCGCACCGCGAATATCATCAGCACCCCGTCCACTATCGCACAGATCTTCAGATTCCCGGGCCGCGCCGTATAGCTCATCAAAGTCTCTTTCTATGTCGTCCATATCCCTCCTAAACGCCTCTGTCCGACTAAATGGCCCCTCGCGACGACCCGCATCCCTGCGACCCGCATCACCATCGCCTCGCGCCTCACTGAGCGCCCCGAACTGGTGGCGCCCCAGGAGGCGCTCCAGTCCTCCGAACACTTCCTCTATGGAGTCATAGTCCTCCTCTCCGGCCTGCAGCGTCCTCCTGCGTCCTCCGGCTACGGATGAGGACGTCTCGTCGTCCTCCTCGATGGGCGCCAGAGGAATCGGTGCGGAGATGACCGGCCGGGAGCGCGCGGTGCTCCGACTGCGGCGCCACGCTGGGGGAGTGGTCACCCGCGCACGGTACACCTGAGTGCCCTCCGGAAGACCGTCACTGCCCGGCACCATCGTCACCACTGCCGAGCTGTAGTTGCCCATCGGAGAACTACCACGGACGGCACCACAGTCACCGCCACAGCTGGTGCTAAAGTTGGCACCAGTTGTAGCAACAGCGTCACTACCAACTGCACCACCGCCGTCACCACCAAGAGCAGCACCGGCGCCAACCCGAGCGCGCAGCACCACCGTCACCGCCGCTGCCACGCTAACTGATCATCATGACCGTCACAGTCAGCATCCCTCCCCAGTCGTTTCGCGATCCCAGCCACTGCGTCTTCACTCAAGAGCCCCTCGCCGGCACTGTCTCAGCAGCTCACCACTCTGCAGCTCTCTCCCTCCAGCCCTCTCTCCCTCTGCCTCGGTGACCGGTGACCGGCGCCGTGTCGCCCGTGTCGCCCGCGGTTATGTCGGCGGTCACGGCCGTCCAGCTCTGGTCCGTGTCCGATCCGCGCCAGTGGCTGTCCTGTCAGACGACCGTGGCGCGGCGGTAAACACAGCCCATCGGCGAACACATGACGCGGCGACTGAGGCAGCGGGGTTGGGACGCGGGGTGTGTGCCGGGCTCACTGAGGGGTGTACCGAGGTACGACCGAGTACACCCGAGTACGGTACACCACTGAACGTCACTGTAAGGCGGACAAGAGACGATGCTCGCTCTTAAAGACAGCTCTTCAGGCGAGCAGACTCCCACTCGCCGTACGGTTATCCTGACGTCACAGTTTGCGAATGTCAAGGTGCCACTCGGATGGACTTGGTCTGATAAGCTCGCCAAAGTTAGTTCAGTCGCCCACGCACTCCAGAAGCCCTATTCACACCACGCCATGAGGCACTCTCGTGATAATTCGGTGAAGCCACGCAGCGCGCTGGACTTTAGAGTGCCAGCGAAGCACTATATTTCTGTCTGGTTATGACGAAGTTTTGCCGACCCGGTGACATTTTACTTCAGTTTTACGGGACACATTGATCGTCAGGAGAATCACGCCACTTCTCGGAGAGTCTACAATGGACGATGCTGGATATTTTGCCAAATATAACATGCAGCCGTATTGCGAAAGAATTAAATCTTTCTTCACCGCAAGAACGGCTGAGGCTCCAACAAACGATGGTCAATTTAAGTCAGAATACTACGCCAAGCAGCTTGTTAGCATAATTTTATGCCAGCGCTTGAAAGGCCCAATCTCGTACAAACGTTGGAATCTCGCATTAATGCCAAGATACGGCCAGTCTCCGAGTCACAGCACATGAAATATATGCAAACGAGCACCGTCAGAAAGGCGCCAGAGCAGTAGTGCGCGTTGGCACGGATGCTGGCAGAGATTCGCAGTACGCACAGCCCAGCCGGGGTGCTGACGACGCTCCGAGGCTTCCTGGAGCTGTCACAGCTGCCGACGCGAGCTTCGGAACGGCCGAGCGCTGGGGACGCGCTCCCTGCAGTGCCGGCTGAGATAAAGTTTTGCACTAAACCAGCTTATCTCGGTGTCAATAAGTGTCGAAAGAAGGATAGCGATCGGCCGATCGCCGAAGTCTCTCGCAAACCAAGCTGGAATTTTTCGTCGACAACACTTAAAAAAGTGATTGTTTTGTCACTGTCACAGATCCTCTCTCCGCTATCACTGTCCTCTTTCCCTGTCACTGTCCTCCGTTCCGCTATCACTGTCCTCCCTCTACCGTCACTGTCCTTTCGCCGTGTCAGTTCTCTCCCGCTGTCACCTCGCCGCTGCGTCGGCCGACCGCTGTCACTCCGGGCTCGTCACTGGGCTCCGCTCCTGACCGCCGCCTGAGGGGCGACGTCGCCAGAGGGCAGCTGATAATGTTGCATCGTGCGACCGCCGGGGGCGTGTACGGTTTCCATCGTGCACCAAGGTAAATAAACCCGGCGGCGGCGGCCGCGCCGGCCGACGCGGGGCGCCTGTCCCTGCTGACGGCACGTCTCGACCAATCGGCAGCCGCCCGGTGCCGGTGACGGCGGCCGCTGAACAGACAGCTGTGGTGGCGACAAGCGGCACCAGGCGACACTGACACTGGCGAGATTAACGGCCGCAGAGGCACGGCGCTGACAAACGGCGCTCGATTGCAACAGATGCGACATGAGATGCAGGACGGGCGCCGAGGCTGGTTGGCATCGAGCGAGATTACAGCGGCTACAACGGCCGAACAGCTTACGTGGTGATAAATTCACAATTTATCAGCCCTTCAGCTTCATTTACTAGATAACCAGCAGATCCGAGCATCGTTGGTGACTCAAAACAGCCCCGGGGATCGTGTCCTTCCAAGAAAACGCCCGGCGGCTGTCACTGAAGCTCGAACCGTGCCAAAGTGGAGCCGCGGTCCCCAAACCGCCCTGGCGTGACACACCACCAGGGCTGCAGCTCCAACCATCGAGCAGCCGGCTGGCAAGAGCTCTCCAGCCAATGCAGTCGCATGTCCATCAGCCACCAATGGGACTGCAAAACAAACGTCTAGTCCCGCCGTCGACAGGAGAATTCGGAGCGGCCGGCGCCGGGCGTTTGGCGTGGTCGCATTCCGAGCTCGCCGGCACCGTGCACCGGACCGACGACAGATATTTAGGCATGCTGATTGACCATCGACAGTCGGCTCAATGGCTGGAATGCCGTCGAGCATACAACAGTGGACGCTTCGAGCGGCAGACCAGTGTCACCTAGACAAGAGCCTTGTATGGGCAAGATATGTCAACTATGAAGCGTGAGATGTCCGCGTGGGGAGGATGGCCGTGGGTTGCCGTCCGAATTAAATTTGATTTATTCAGTATTGCACGGGACTGGTGTGTGATTTATACAGAGCAGCGCCGGATAGCTTGGTACGTGACCCGTGAAATTTCAGAATCCATCGATCGCAGAAGTCCCACGAGGCACATTCCCTCCTACGCTCCGCTTCCGGAAACCATGTCTTTATTCGTGCAGCTTGCATCAGCCCCGCTCCGCACACAGCCCGATTTAGACCAGCACACTACACGATCACGTGATCATCCATATCCATGGGCTCTATATGATCTCGGACACCACGTGACTGAACATATCAACCCACCGTATGCAGACTCGGCACCACGTGATCCATCTGCGAGAGCCCGTTACATGCCACGTGACCTCTCAGCGGCCCCAGTTCTGTTTATGAATGGTGACGGCGACCCATAAAAATGTGCCGTGAGAGGTGCATCTGGCTGGCGCCGCGCGAGGCCAGCAGGGACTCCATGGTCACATTCCATGCAATAAAACCGGCCCGCCGTACGCGGCCAGACGGCTAATAACTAAATGCCTGCCCTCGGCCGTGCGCGGCTGTAACGTCAGCGGCCGGTTAGCTGTCGTGTTTATAATAGCCGGTCAGGCCGCCCGCGGCTAATGATGGAACAATCACGACTGGTGACTGGTCAGAAGACGGTCCCGTCGTGTCGCAAGTGTCAACTCTATAATTGGGTACGTGCTACTTGGTGGGTGGCGGGGTGCAATGAAGCGATATTATCCGGGTACAGACTGAGTAAACTGGGAAATGAAAGGAGGCATTGAACATAGTTGATGTGTGATGTGTTGATGTGGCAACGAAGATACCCTAAGCTACTTTATGATTGATGACTAACAGGTCCATGGCATTCACATGGCCAAACAGCTCAGACTGTTGTCTCTCGTGGTCTCGCTGAAAGTCTGGATGGCTAGCCAGTGTAGGAGCAGTGCCAGTTATGTGGCAGGCATGGTGTGAAGAAGACGGGAGCCGTTATCAATTGAGAACTTAATGAAGATGGGGCGGTTATGACCACAAGGCTTCTGCCGCAGCCATTTGGACCAAGTCTGTGGTCGGCTGTGCATGCTGGGCAAACGCTGAGTGCTGAGTATGGGCGTGTGATTCAATGAGGTAATGAATCATTGAGTGCTGCTGAGAATGTGATTCAGAGCTCGGCTAACAGCTCTGTGAATGGTCCAATGATGAGCTGCACATGGCACTGACGACAAGAATTCGTTGGAATAAAACGGTGCCGCCGTAAAAAAGCAACTTTCAAGTTCGATCACTAAAAAGGAAGCAGCCTAAAGACAAGTAAAAATAAAATCAATGGCATCCTTAAAACGTCATAAAAGTGCTACCAATATTCGCACCCAGCTCCAGCATTCTGAACAGTTTATGCACGCCAAACCGTCCTGTCACCATCGCGTGGCGCCGTCCGTGCGGAGGCCATCCTTTGGCTGAGCCTTGAGGTCACCCCCGACCGCGCAGTGGCCGGCCTCACTGACCACAGTCCCAGCCCCGTCCGCCCACCGAGCAAAAGGACATACATGGTTTGTTGAGTCTGTCGAGACATGTTTAGCACTGAGCCGCACCCTATCCCGCACAGAATCTCAACGAGCAGCCGGTGCAAGCGGCCGCCAGTACGGCCTTATGGAGTCGTCGCCGTCTATGGTCATCCATCGCTTGACCGTCACGCGGTTCGCTGCTCGTCTATAGCTCGTCTATCGCCCGTCTATCGCCCGTCTATCGCCCGTCTATCCTCCTACCATTCCCCAGCGCTGGCCTTTCTGAACAGCGAGCCCGCCTGAGGACGGATTGCGCCACTCCCATACGGGTACGGGTTGTCGGCTCGCCAGCATCGACCAGAGTCACCGATATCGATAGCCTTTGCCGCCGGCCGCGCTAGCTCATGCATAAATCAGTTGACGGCTCGTGCGCGCCGCGCAGCTCGCTGCCGCTCCTCTCGAGTGGTCTGACTGGTGCGGTGGGCCATTCGGTCCCTCTGACTGGTGCAAGGTGGGCCATTCGGTCCCGACGAACGTGCTGGTAGGACTCGCTAGGAGGTGGAGCAGAGGCAGCCTCCTCTCCAGACGAACATGCCAGTTTTTCGTTCACCTTCATTTATCGTCTTTGGTTTTAGTTTCTCGGCTCATTCTCATTCTACTCTCACATTCTCACGCGGACGGTGATGTCGTTCGTTAGGCGGCCAATCTGAACCTGTCCCGGATCGTTCTCCTTCCCTCCAACAATTCACTCCTCTCTCCTCCAATATCACCCCTCCTCCAATCTCACCCCTCTCCTAGCTCACCTTCTTTGTCGTAGTAGGTGATGTCCTCCTCAGACAGGTCGCCTGTGTCGGCCGCTGCCGGCGCGGCGGTGCGCTCCGGGCTGATGGTGGATCCCTCGGAGCGGGTAGGTTCGGTGGCAGGAGCGGGGGAGCTGGTCCGACTGCCCGCTGCCCGCGCCGCCCGCTCCTGGGAGGGCGTCGGCCGCAGCCGGTCACCGCTACCAGCCGCCGCCGCGATCTGAAAACGAAACGGGAGATTATAAAGAGGTTGACATATACCTGATGTGCAAATACTATTGGAAGAAATATTATAAGAAGGTAAGTGGTTAACATTATTGTAACAATTTGCACCACCACTTTCAAATTTAGATAACAGGCGATGTTACTGCAGCGAGGGTTGAAATAATGTCACTGAAAATAAACAACCAAATTTGTCAAGGCTTCGATCGACGTCAACCAGCATCATATTTTCCATCAGTTCTTCGTGATGCCATCGAGATCGCATACATCAGGGACAGGATTTAGCCGGGATGACATCACGCGATCTAGGATAACCGGCGTCTTTACTGGAGGCCGGCTAAACAGGCAGTACGTCACGGGGTGACTCGGGGCCGTCAACTGACGTGGACAGGCGCCAGGAGGGCCGGCCGCTGCTAAATCAACACCGTCTGAAGGCTGGACACGTGTGGGGGTGTCTGAGCGGCATCACACCACTTTGCCAGCCAGCGATACACTCGGTGTTGGCCGATGGTCGGTAGTCGGTACATGCCTCATACCGCAGAGGTCAAGCCAATCAACGGGGAATTCGTGATACTGTTGGGAGTGACAGATAATGAATTTTTGAATTCATCGGATGAAGCTCAGTTCACCGATTAAAATGAGCATTATACATGACAGTTGGCCTAGGAAGAAAGGGTTTCGTTAAAAAAAACATCTCTACTGTTTTATGTTGTATTTTTCGCTTCCGTTTTTCGTACGTTCTGTAAAAGCTCAAGCTGGACGGGCAAAAATGATCGAAGCGGCCGAACCCATCCAATCGCCGTCCAATCACGTTGACCATGGCTTCGCTGCTTCATGGCGGTTTCCATGGCAACCGTGTCGGCCCAGCTGATCAATCTCTGCCAGGTCGGCAGCACGGTGATGACCGTGCACACATCCCTGGAGGCAATCAGTCACACCTGTGCTGACCGAGCACACATGCGCCGTGGCCCTGAGGCGGGCCGGGGAGGCTGGGGAGGCCTGGGAGGCCGGGAGAGGCCGGGGAGGCCAGGGGAGGGGGACTGACCTGGTCGATCATCCTGTGTGTGTCTGCCAGCTCTGACCTCAGGTCAGTGACCTGAGACTGGGCCACCTGCAGGTTTCCGTCGATCCGTGACCCCAGGATCTGGTTATCCTCCATCATACTGTAGAACTTCGTCTGTGAAAAGAGTAAGACACGGCAGGTCAACAAATAGACAGCATGATATCCACAGCTTTATTGCATCAAAGAGCCCCGTGGGGTAATCAAATGCAAAGGATCAAACGAGTTGTTTGCATAATTCCCTTTAGCTGACGACCTAATTAGAACGGCATGATAGACAACAACCCAGCGGAACCAGACACGCCACTGAATCCACTCTTCTCTGTAGGAAATTGTAACAGGAAATCCCCTTCATGAAAGCCAAAGGCAACCATCTTCACCCATAAATCCACTTTTCAGGGGCCCGCTGCGCCAAATTTCCTGCCGAGA